TATGACAAACAATACGTCTATTGTTTCCTAACTAATTATCGGAGAATTCATTAGGCTAATTGTCATGGAGACTATTTAAACCGTAGTTACAACCATTCGGATTCAGCTGGTATCGCGCCCGAATGGAAATTGTAGGTAATGTCTTCGTCCGTGTACTTTCACATAAATAAAAAACTTAATTCGAATGTCTCGTATAATAAGACGTGGGACAGGACTAAATCTCCACTACACGTGGGAAAATTACCCTTTTAGTAACACGATAAAAGAACAAACACACGATCATTTAAATCTATTTGCCTATCAGCTTTCTCGTAAACAACATTTCACGTGGCACCATCTTCAAAATTTCGTAATTGATGTAACTTCAACCAATATCTATCAGTCTTGCTCCAGTAATTTATTTAAAATAGTGTCTTTTTTACTTCTAATCGTTAGAGTAACTTTTAACGTAATATTTTACTTAAATTTTCTATTTTAATCAATTTTTTTTAAGACGTAATACTTTTACAGTAAACTTTAGTATGTATTAGGAATGTACAGAGGCGTTGTTTAGTTAGATTTTTTTCTAGAAACTTCCAAGCATCTAGTGTTTAGTGTTCGTGACAGCGGCTCGGGCGCAGGGTTATTGTTAAAGCAAACGAACGGACGTACCTATAACCATTTGTGCATATGCAGGCGATATGTAAACACTTCACCCAACGTTTTAACTTCAACATCACAACGAGTCCTTAATCCATTGGCTTAAGGTTCAAAACGCTGTTGGATATGTGATGAACCAACCGGTTTTAGGAATAATGGACAGGATACTCCGTGCTTCTAAGTCCTTTTTTAAAGTATCAAGAATTTTAACAAATGCACCTTCAGGCCTCGGTTTGGTATAATGTTATTGATGACATTCACTTCAAGAACATTCGTGATCATGACAAAACATAATTAGTTTTTTAAGTGTCATAATGTTAAGTGACAAAAAAAGACACCCTTTTCTGTTTTCCAGCATGCAATCTTTAAAGACATGTTACCAACAACAATAGAAAATTACAATTATTTATATTGAAATTTTCCAAACATTCCAAAAGTAAAACACTTAAAAAGCGAGTAAATTAACAATCTAGGAATAAGATAAAGGGATCTTGACATCATAATGTCTCACCTACGCTGGTTAATTTCAAGTGCGTCTTATCTTAAGCAGATCACAAACTTTGTAATGTAAACTTTGTTTTAGAGTCAAGTTTTTTATCACAAGGCAAACTCAAAGATACCCCAAGCTTATCTTTTAGAACGGGGTCGCTAGATCAAACACTGGACCCCACGGATGTCAGAACAGAACGGGTTTCAGACCTGTTTAGGCGAAATTTTAACCGACCCCGCCAATAGACTGTTATAACTCGAAATATTGTTATCTATAGACATTTTTACAGCTGCCTCTATACGTTTTAACATTTACGACCGTTTCTTTGAAATATAAGCCGATAATTAAATGTACCATTAGTAAAACTGTGAGCCCATTCAAGTAAATAGCATTAAAAGGTAAATAATTTCGTTTCGTGTATTTTTCATTTAGATGGCACTGATAGCCGGGGCATGCCATTCATGCATTTCTGTTTATCTTACGCTCGGGATGGTTTATCTACAGATTATCGTCTATTGTTGATTTAAAACATCAAAAGACGTTTGTTTTTAGTTACAGTATTTCCTATAAACGTGCCGTGTGTCACAACAGCCGTTATATTTGAATATCTCTCTGTATATCTCAGTCTACAACTTTCATTTAAAACATTTACATGATATTCTTATTCGTTTTTCTTTCCTAAACTGTCTTCTTTATCTCAAAATCTTTTTTACTTCACGGTAGCAATCACAGTTAGTTATGACGCTCTATAATTCGTTATAAAAATAGTTGAGACATATTATAATACAATAGCGCACTTTCGCATGAGAAACTAGCGATTCTCATGCACAGCGCAATAAAATCCTATGTCCCAACCGCTCGTGTAACCTCAAAATTATATTTTTTTCCGCAGTGATCCCGCATGGTCTACAGAAATAAGGGAATTCGTAGGCATCATGAAAAAATTCTGGAATAATCTCGTTCTAGTACTATCTACTATTTCAACAGTTTATAAGACCCTTAATACATATATTTATTTTCAAATTCCCAAAAAACAAACAAACTAATTAATCAATATAATAAAATAAGTAGAAGCTACTACAACTTATCTATATCGGTTAAAAATTTTATATCTTAAAACAAGTTTTGTTATAAAAATACTTTTATGTGTTCTAAATTAATTTAAATACATTTTACTTGCAAACGCCGTATAAGTTTTCTCTTTACGAAGCGATTAATAAACAAGCTGTGCTTTAATATAACAAGAATTGGTTCAGGTTTACGATATAAGAAGAAATTTAAAGTTTACAGCTCCAAATAAGCCTTCGGAATTGGATAATCACTTTATACGTATATAGCATACAAGAATGTATTAGTTTATAATTCGTTATTTCAAGCCAATAACTCAAGCACGAAACAGAGTACAGTAAAGTAAAGATTTACAAAACTTAAACAGCAACAAAAACTGGTCATCGTCATGAAATGACAAATATGGCTAACTACCACGAACATTAAAACTATATAATATGTACATGATGTAACCGTGTGTGGTCCAAATATTTTGATCTTATACAGGCATTTATTACTTCGCTAGTCGGTCTAAAGGACCGAGGGTTTTTTGTGAGCGGACCGATAATTGAGATATTTCATGTTAAAGAAACATAAAATATAATTTAGATGAAATATTTTAATACATATAATTTTGCAGACACTTTGTTCTTTGGTGGACAACTCTTAACGATCTTAAATGGCTGTCTCCTGAATGTTGAACAACTATTAAAAAACATATTAGTCCCGTCTCGAAACTTGATTGATACAACTGCGAATTTCGTTCGATAAAACTTTTATTGCGAAAGGCATAAGGTTCAAAACATTTATGAAAACGGAAACGAATGAATATGCTAAATGTTAAGTGAGAAATTGGTGCGTCTTAGTTGAGATTTATATGGGACCCAGACCTATAGTAGGGTTGTCGTATTTGCGACATCAAATCTGCAATAATATAGATTATTTATTCGCAGATGTTTCATCCTATATTAAAATGGCTATCACAAACTTATGGCCCTATTCGAAGCAACAATGTAACGCACGACGATATGGAATAATTTATAACACAATTGAAGTCCACAGACAACCCCAATATTTTTTGTGGACATCGGGCGTGCACACATGGCTTTAGCGCGTTGCATCAGAACAAAACATTTCACAATAGAAATTATTTTGATCATCGATCGTGTCGATAAGAGTAATAAAATTTTATAAGGACTCTTATAACTAATATTTATAAACATTTAACTAAAATGAGAATGCAAGAATTTGGTAGTGAAAATAAACTATTATAGCCAAAGAATGTCTTTGAATTCTAACGATATTAGTGCACTATTAGAAATGAAATATATTTGTCACAAATATTAATAGGAACAGTATTACACATGCCGGCCAGCCCTAGGCGCCGGAGCAATTCTCGGCAAAAGACAATTGATCATTAATTGCGATTGTTTTTAAAGTAGAGCGCTGGCCGTGTTCGAACAATAACACACATGCGTTTTGATACAAACGTCGAATGTAATCAGAAACATTTTGTATCTTAACACCGCATCGCTTTGTAAATATTTAAAAGATAACGATCATACAATTGTATTGAGAGCTACAGATCTCTTTTTTGACTTATTTAGTTGTATCAACAGAAAGTATTGAAACAGAAATCCTCAACGTTTGTATTTATATCTTATACAAACATATGAGAAACTTAAGAATTAAATTACACGAATATAAATGCATTTTAAACGGCTTATGAATTCCAAATGGCGACTTTCCCCCAAAAACTGGTAAGACACCAGAAACGCTATACTAAACGATAATGTTATAATGTTATAGCTTGATCAATATTCAAAATGCTGCACCATAGTCCCGACGACAGAAATCGTGTGGAAATGGCTCGAATACTAATAAACATTTTACAATTTTGTATTCACATAGATGAGCTTAGGCGAACGTCGTGCGAGTTCTGCTTTGCATTACTGTAGTTCTTATCTTAGTGATCTAGTACTTCCAATGTCCTTGCTAGTACATTATAAATATATTATTTGACCCTTCGACGGCCGCTGGGAATACTGATCGAAGCATAAATAGTTGTGGCTCCGATGTTTATTGTGTGATAACTTTAGCTTCGCGTGCGGTTAGCTGAGGTAGTGACGGTACGATTCTAAGAAATTGTGCTTAGCGTTAACGAAATGTGAGTACTGTTATGATGGAAAAAATATGTAATAACAAATTTCATATTATATTAAGAGATGTAGCAATTTCATAACGGAAATTACTCCATTTTGAGTCATATGAATATATCTTTTTTGTATATAAAATCATTTTACAAAAACGAATGATAAATTACATGAATCTACTTTCCACAAGCGGGTGTGAAACCACAACAATAATAAACAATAACTCAAAAGTTGCAACCACCTACACACAGATAATATATTTATATATATCATATCAGCATAATTTACGAATTCAAAATAACAGAGTTTTACTTTAAATCTCTTTTAAGGACATATAAATGTTAACTCTTGTTTTGGAATACTTTTTTAAACTGAGATTTTAAATGAAAACAAATGCCACCATTCAATAACCATAATTAAATATAGAACGGCTGTAATTAAAAATAAAAAATGCGATGCTACTACACTCCAGTTTTTAAAGCGACAAGTTACACAAGTTCTATAAAACTGTGAGAACCAACTATACACGACCAAATTAAAACTGTTGATAACATGTAGAAAGCTCTGTGCGTCGGCGCGCCAACTTTACTCGGCCGGGTTGGTTGCGAGACCGCGCTTTCATAAGCTCAACCACTCTTCAAAATTACATGCAGCCACAATAAGACACTTACCATCGACACTATGGATTTCAGCGGACAGCGTTGTTAGCAGCAGGCCGAATGATAGCAATTTAATCCCATAATCCGGTATAAAGTTTCTTGACCACATCTTGTAGCACAATATTCACACATGGATCACACACATTGGTTTTACTCCTTCTATGTCGTTTTAACACCAAAATATAAACACTTCACGGAACCAAGAGTAAGAACTGACACTTCATTTTGTTTTGAACTGTTGTTACGTTGAAAAAACTTCAGCATTGGTCATTTTAGCGGTAAAACACGTTCAAAAACAACGAACAGACCGTTTGGAACATGCGCAGCCGCGTCCTGCTCGCATCTGACGGCTTTGTTGTAAATACACAATCTAGGGTAAATCAAAATGGCGGACGGCGCGCCAGTGTGCGTGCGCGCAGCTTGTAACAATAGATATCTCGCTCCTAGGATCCCGTCTACAGCCCTTGATGGAAATTTTATATCATTTACAACTTTAGACGTTTAATTTAAGTTATTAAACCCCAGTGTTATAGTTTTAAAACCGTGAGAACCCAGACACGCACACATTGACAAATACGCGAAGGAATGTTGATTCAATGGAGAAATCAAGCAATTCAACACCACTCGTCGCTCACAGCCAATACAGAGCTTTTGAACTTAGTAGTTCGATGATGGCAGCAGAGATGGCGCTACTGTAAATGTTATATTATAGGGGTTGGTTTGTAAGGCATTATCATGAACTGGCCCCTTAAAAGGAACTGGAATAATAACGTTGGTTAAAGAAACGTTACATTTCAAAAATATCTACATAGTGATGTCTTTCAGTTAAATCGATGACGACACTTTTGTTAGGTTGCTACGTTAAACAAAACCTCCTTAGTCGTCGCCGATTTTTTTTACGATTTCTGTAAATTAATTACTTCAGCCATGGCTACTTGCTATCAAAAACATCCCTTCGAAATAGAAACGGAAGACAGATTAACTACGATAAATTCAAAAATATTCGAAATCAAGAAGAAAATACAACTATCAGGTAATATTTATTATTAATACCTAATGATTTAAAAATATCGTTACAAAATTGTCGTTAAAATCCTTACATTAAAGAGGGTCAAAGAAAATCACACTATGAAGAAAATGAAGCAGAGAAAAAGCAAAACAGTGACTTCATAGAAACATTAAAGAATGAAATAAAACTTAGACTGAAGGAACTGGCTCAAGCTAGAGAGATTGTCACAGAAGAAGAAGCCATGGTGAAGAAATACTTAAACGCGGTTTGTCCTATTGGTAATAAAACTGCAGATCAGGTATGTATAATACGGCTTTTCTTAATTAATTTCCTAATACACTTTGCGATGTTATTAATACCCTTGGTAATACATAATGTTTTGTGCACAAATCTAACATTTCAATGTTTTAAAATGGTTTGTTTTGTTTTTGTAGCTAATACATAATTTCGATTTGAAAGTAATTGAACAAAGAAAGTTATTAGATTTATTAAAATACGAGAAAGGCAGCAAGAAGAAGAAGTTGAAAGATCTAGAGGTGGAATACGAAAAACTTTTAATAGAAAGCACTAAAAGTGATTTGGTCAAATCAAAAATCTCCACCAGAGCAAGAAAGGTATATAAATAAAAGCATAATAACTACTATATACGTACATGATCACAAAATTGTTAAATATTATGTTATGAACATAATATTATCAGATATATGTATGTACGTATATATGTAAAATGCTACATTGACTAATGATATACTAACGTTACCTTAAGTATTTTAAAGATTTTCATAAATTATTATGTTATAATCAAGTTTTAATCTTATTAAATTGATATTATCACCTCAAGTCAAACAACGTATACAGGTTTTATAAACAAGTTAACGGTTCCATATTAAGGATAATAAAAGAAAGAATATATCGATTTAAAAATATAGTATAAAACAACACTATTTGAAATCTATTTTAACGAAACTTTTTATTTCATCACCATAAGAATGTATCCCATCTTGAAAACGAGATACACAAAGTTCTGATACAATGGACTGAAGCGGAATTGGTAAAGAAGAAATATACTTCAATCAGGTATAATATAACCAATTATGTATAAATAAAATTACAAAAAGTATAAAATTATATTTCCATTTCAGGCAGGCCCTAGTAGAAGATTCAGTAAAATTTGAAAGCTCGCTGTCTAAAATTGAAGAGGTCTTGAAGAAACAGAAAGAAGAAATAAAACAGTTAGAGGTATGTAGTTGAATCGAGTAATATCATAAAATTCAAAACCGGTACCAATACCACAAAAGTACCTAGTTAAATGATCTTTTGGCGTCATTCGTTGAATCAGTTCGCTCAAAAACAGAAGTAGACTAAAATAAAACATAAATCAAGTGATTTTGTCCCTCTAACGAATACAGTTAAAGAGATTCGTTTCATATGTATCCACAGTTGGTCCGTGAAGAAGCAGCTGAAATGCGTTTTCGTGCGACCGCGGCTACGGCTGCAGAAGCGGCTCGAGCACACGACGCTGAACACGGTCGAGCCAATGAACGAGCCTATTTCGCACAGAGGTTTGAAGAAAGGAAAAGGGAACTTGAGAAATTGGAGAAGAGGATTTTCCCGCCGGCTGGTTATTAGTTCATTATAATTTCACTCATTTATGGACACGTAAACTTTAAAATAATTTATACTCACTTGTATAATTCGTAAGGAAAAAATATAGTTGGAATGTATTACTAGACCGCAATTAAAGATATAATAATCGTTTCTTTTTTAACTAAACAAAGAAGGAAAACAGATCATGGATATCAACTGTACTGGCAACTTAAGTAATAATGCAAATGAACAATGATTGTGTTGTAGTTCGTTCTGTGCGACAAGAATCAAGAGGATCTACAGAAGGAGAAGTGCCTACAGAGGAACAATCAGCTGCTAACCAGATGGAAGAAATATTCCAGAGATTGATGAAGCTAACAGGTTAAAAAAACTAATTATACTTTATACTTTAAAATAAATGTATCATGATGGTATGTGGTTCATTTTTGTAGGAGTTACGGAACCTGAGGAAGTGTTCGATAGATTCAAGTCCCAGCGAGAAACACAGAAGCGTCTGAACTACCTTCAACAAACAACTGAAGAAGAGAAACTTCTCCTGGAGGAAACACAGACAACACTCATCTCTGAGCTTGAAGGATACAAGTTTGCGTCCGTTAAGGATAAGGATGAGTAAGGAAAAATAGCACTATTTATAAATGATAATTATGCTTTTTATTATACAAATCATATTGATTTCAGGGGTCAAGAAGAAATAATGGAGTTAAAAAAACAAATAGAAGAGGAAGAAAAACACTATGCTGAATTACAAAAAAAATATGACGACTTGGAAGGCTTTCTGTTGGAAATCAAGAGATTGTTATATGACCTGTGCAAAATGTTGGATGTAGGTGGAATAGGAGATATTAAACGAAATTGTTTTTAAATTAACACGCCAATGCCTATTTTTACATGAAATGTTTATTGAACTTTCTCCTAACACGCGATTTAAGTCTAATATTGCTTTAGATTGTTGGAGAACCAGCTATGCCAGAGTGGACAGCAGAGGCTCGAGATATTTCAGAAACTCTAAATGTTTTAAGCGCGAGATACTCTATAGCCGCTACTAGGACGGCTGCCTTGCAGAAGAGAGATCAACCCGTTGCTTCTAATGTACGTACTAGCTCCATAAACTATAAATGTTCTTCTACATTTAGCGTCTTTATCCATTCAAACAAACGATAATAAATGAAATTTTATTCAATATAACTTTTTACAGACTCCGAGTGGCCCACAGTCACTAGCTGGTGTAAGGTCACGAAGTCCCAGTACACCGAAAGACTCTGAGAAGGTTCTGCCGACGTACAAGGAATTGGTGACCAGAGAACCTGTCAAACCCCCACGTAAGATAAAAATTTACTAAGAATTATTTTATGTCATAGGTATTTTTACATATAATAGCCTTTTACTAAAATTGTAGTATAAATATATTCCTTTAAAAATATTTTTAATACTATGATATAAAAATGATATAAAATATTACTATGATATAAAATATTTTTAATACTATGATTGAACAATGTATTTTACAACATTTGCATAAAAAGTAAAATTTTTGTTCAGCGTCTGATGAAGAGGAGGACATACCATCGCGGTTCTACTTGAAACGCCAAGCCCAACTCATTGTAGATACAAAATGCAGGAGGAAAGGATTCCGTACACCTTATCCAAGGAAATAATAGAAAAAACTTAACATAATTTTGTAGTTTACTTATATTTTACGAGCCAATAAAACTATTTAAATAATATGTCATTTACCATTTTCCGTCACCATTGACGTTTTCAACAAAAGCAAACCTTTCTTAGCTGTTTACCAAATATAATATATTTTTTTAGATATATTTTTAGTTTTTACAATAACCATGTTTTGTCCCCATAAGAATTCATATCTGCAGCTCGTTTGTGCTATAAATCCGAGAGTCATCAACAAAGCCGTGGATCAGGCCATGCAGAAAGAACACTTCGATCTCCATACTGGTCTGAATTGATTTCTATTACCCTACATTAATACTTTAATACAACTATTCATACAAGTAAGACTCTCTGTAGATAATCCCTTAATAGGGCTTTTCTTTAATCCTCGCTAACGTCAAAACTTTGGCCTAGTTACAAGTAAATCCCAATAATAGAATAATATACAATAGATAGAAAGGAAACTATTGCACTTAGAGACGAAAATTTACGAAGATATGTACATATTTTACGATTCTCATACGTAAGTACGTTTTGATAAAGACAACGTGAGCTACGCCCAGTAATTTGATTTATTGTATTATAGTCAGCAAGATATATTTAGACATATGGACTCTTCATTCATCTAACTAAAAATTTATCAACTAAATTCTTCTTCATTCATCATTCATCTAACTAAAAATTTATCAACTAAATTCTTCTTCATTCATCATTCATCTAACTAAAAATTTATCAACTAAATTCTTCTTCATTCATCATTCATCTAACTAAAAATTTATCAACTAAACTCTTCTTCATTCATCATTCATCTAACTAAAAATTTATCAACTAAATTCTTCTTCATTCATCATTCATCTAACTAAAAATTTATCAACTAAATTCTTCTTCATTCATCATTCATCTAACTAAAAATTTATCAACTAAATTCTTCTTCATTCATCATTCATCTAACTAAAAATTTATCAACTAAACTCTTCTTCATTCATCATTCATCTAACTAAAAATTTATCAACTAAATTCTTCTTCATTCATCATTCATCTAACTAAAAATTTATCAACTTCAGATCGCCCTCCAGCTAAGAGACTGGAATCCATGCAACCGTCTCTTTATGCACCTCATGTGGATATAACCAGAGCATCTTTAGGTTTTGAACGTGTTGGTCTTAGACTCATTAACAGGGACCTACACTCGCCCGATCATTTGAAGCAATTACAGGCAATACATAGTATTCTAGACCAGGTGATGTTTACTTTGTGATTCTAAAATATAGAACACTGTTTTCATTCATTCTCGATAACAAGAGGTTTTTAATATATGTATAAAGATTACTTTCAAATTCACTTTAGTCTGCCTACCTTTTCCAGGAAGTAGTTAAAGGATTTATGTAACAGAAAAATATTTTGCAGGTAAAAATTTCAGAGAACGCTTTGTTTCTCATAGATCTCCAAGTTGTCTATCGACTGATTGACCTGATGTTGCACAAAAATCCGGTGATACGGGAAAAGGTCTGCATCATACTATCATCGCTTTGTAACTATTATCAAGGAAGGAAGCAAATAATGACAAAACTTGCCGTCATCGAGAATCTTATTTGGCTTATAATGCGAGATCGCAGAGAGATTAGGTACGCAGCGGCATACACATTGAGGTCTTTAACTAGAGACAGATGTTCCAGCGAATATATTCTACAAGGCGAAAAGATAATAGAAAATTTGCTTAAAATGATAAAACACGAACATGTCGGTATCGTCGTACTGCATTTGAAGACATTGGAACATCTTTTCGAATGGGACCAAGAGAGACCGCTGAAAGCGAACGCGTTCAGACTTATGGTGAAGTTGTTCGAAAGTAAAGATCCTAGAATAGTGAGCCGTTCGATGGATTGCTTGACGCAGCTGTGCAAACATGATGTAGGGAAAAAGTTAGCCGATGCATACGACTTGACATTCACGCTAAAACCTTTCCTCATGTCATCGGCTTTAGAAATCAAAATAAGCGCGGTCGGTCTCATGGAGTACACAACCGTGACGACTCGATCTAAATGGAGGGCCAAGGAATGTTGTCTGGACCTGACCAAGCGTCTAGTAGTATTGTGCCACTGCCCTAACATACCTCTGCTTCAGTTGAGGAGCATGCAAGTACTGATCAATCTCTGCGACTGCCCCGACATCAGACATCACATGAAGTTACATTGGGAGAAGAAAATTGAGGCCATAAAAATACGAAGCCACGAACAATGGGACGGAACTTCGGAAACCACGAGCTACTGCTTCGAAACAGGCCATAACTATAGAACCATGTGTATCGAAGGAGTTGAGACCATAAAGAATGATTATGGGGACAACGCACACGTTATAAACGTTCACAGCTATTTGCGACGTCTACACGAAAAGAAATCACAGCTTCTTTACGCCATCAATTGGAAATCCTATAGAGATTAATTTTCTGATAATAAAACAATATTTTGTATTATTAATTTTATTAATAGGACATTAAGTTACATAAATACGCTACATTTTTGTGCCTTCACTGGCAACCTTATAGCTAGTTCAGTCATAAATCGTTCATTTAACCAAAAAAAAAATAATAATATTGTATTTTGTTACTAAATTATAAAAAAATACATGAAACAAGAATTGGAGTATTAAGAAATTATATCAAAAATAAAAATTATTTAAAAATGTATAGCATTTTGTGCTGATAGATGTAGAATCATTTTGACTAAAGTTATCATAGAAATAACTATAAAGCTACCATACATACTGCATCATGAATAAGTACATAAAATTCTATTGACCTTTATTTACTCAGCATTCTAAGTACTTATTGCTGTATACCTAAGGTACATGGCACTTACATAATACAATTTAAACTAAGTTTTTAACCAGAATTGTGCATTTAATGTCTTTATAATATTCATTTAAATGAAGTAAAGCGACTACAAATATAAAGGGAGCAATAAATCATGTTATCCAGCTATATACAGCGTTTATCAAATCACAGTTTTCTTTGGAACATGTATCACTAAATAACTCTAACATTCATACGACGCACTAAGGTTATCTTACTGTTATTTTATTTACTATTGTGCATTTTGAGCATTTCTACAATCTATGTATAGTCGATATAGATTTGGCAAGACATAGTCTCTCAAATATTTATTAAATAAATCACTAGAGCGTATTAAACTTACTCTTAGCTACCCTCCCATTTATAATAGGAATTGTTTGGATAATAATAATTTCACTCAATATTTTTATTGCTTTCAAAGTTTCGTTTTAAGATTTCACAATAGATATCGGCTACCACTTCAAAAGAGTCTGTTCAAATCCGATCAAATCTGTCCAAATCCACTCAAATCTGTTCAAATCCACTCAAATGTATTTAAATCTCGCTAGATCGAGCGTACTTGTATAGCGCTTTGCACAGGTCGTGCATGTTTGGGTCTCATCTGATCCGTTTGTTCATCGGCTCGTACATCTCAGCCTCCGAGTCAACCTCGTCCTCCGATAGTGAGAGCGACCCTCCGACACGACGGGTCCTGAGACCCTCCTGAATATATTACATATGGTTTAGATTATTTGCGAAATCTGATAGTATATTGAACTAAGTTCACTATAAAGCTTCATGATTTTAAATAAAATATAATGTGACACTGAATTGAAGGTAAAATAACGACACATTATGAACACAAACATGCAAGGTATGGGACATATTAATATTATTCGTTAAACCACTTTTTAGCATTAGTGTTAAATAACGCTCTAAGCTATTAAGCAGTTGTTAACAAATAACTAACGAATGAAAAGTCCAGTGTAGCGATCTATTGAAAAAGATCTACTTATTTCATTAATGTGCGTCTCAACGGAACTTAACATATGAGAAATGTAATTAAAAAATACAAATCCCATAAAGGTGTTATATTTTCAGTAAAAATGAAATTTAAAGAAATTGCCGTCTGTAGATCAAAAAAAAATTGCCGCAAATAGAACAGTGAATCTGAAACAACATGCTAAACAAAAACACAATATGACTGAACCAAAAAACCTACAACCGCAACCTCAAAGCCGTGTTACACAAAAAAAAGAAAAAAAAAGTGTAAACCCAAACTAATGCGTCTCGTGCTCAATATGTGCCCACCAGTTCCGTGTCGCTGATCCAGGCGTTGCCGTCTTCAACGCTGGAAGACATCTATAATACCCATACATATTAATATTTAGTCACAACTACATGCTAGAACACACTCCGTCTAAATCTATATTAATCACCAAGTACTTTCTATACGATTCAACATATCGTCCGGGATAGTGCAAATCCGCGTAACTATATTGTGTAATTCCGCGTAACTGCAAAGAAGCAGAGTATCAGAATAGTTTAAGCTGAAATATTTTCTAAATAAACGACTTTTAAGTTAATTTTTTCACAATTAGTAATTATTTAATGTTTAATTGATAACGAAAAAATTACCTAAAAAACATTAATTTAGAAAATATTTCAGCTCAAACTTCCTTCTGATAATCTGCTTTTTTCGCAGATATGCGGAATTATCCAATGGCAGTTACGCGGATTTGGCTATCTCCGACGATATTTCAAATACCAACAACTATTTAATCAACCAACTAGCATTCAATGTCTTATGTTTTAGTCGTTCTTATTAAGTCATACCTCTAGTATCCCACCGCTGGGCTCAGATGCGTAACCTTCGAAGTGTCTTTGATCTTCATAGTCAGATTCCGAGCTACTCTCATTATCATCTTTCGCCGTCCTCACTGAGCACACCATTTGCGCCAAATCCGTGAACGTGTAACTGGAAATTGGTTATTATCGACCATATTCAATGTCGAAATGTTAGATTAAGTATAAATACATCTTGAATAAAAGATAAAGCAAGCAAATATTCCAGTATCTACTATTATAATAAACCAGTTCATCAATTAGTCGTTACTAGCCCAGAGATACTACAATCTAGTACTACGACTCTTCCACCAGTGAACAAATAGTATTTCTTCTAGACTACCCGCAACTTCAATAGTAGTTATTAGTTACCAGCCCAGAGATACTATCTATAGCTACTTTTTTACAACCATACTACTTTATACTCACTCAGTCAAGGCTGGTTGTGCGGAGTGTTTCCTACCCTCAGCGGCTGCTCCACTAACGCCGCCTCCTCCTCCTCGTCTTTGACCCTCGAAGTAAGCTGATCCATGACGATAACCAACCTCACGGATCTCGTCAAAGGATCCAAACTGCAACGTCTTATACGCGTCGATAGGAGGACGTATGTATTCGCAGTAATCCGATTTCTTGACCTCCTAAAATTTAATTTGACAATTTTTAAAGTTTATAGAAAAAATCATTCTGTTCCTGTTTCTACTAAAAATACAGTTTATTTGTCGTTTATGATAAAAACTCTTTAATAAGTAGTTTTCCTTCATATGAACAGACGTCGACCCAAGTTTATGCATAAAGCATATATACAAAGAATATCCATCAGTATAACTCACTTCAAGCTGTCGGTTGCAGGACACGTAGGCGAGTCTGCTCTGAATGTCAGGCAGATTGGGAACCTTCACCGGCGTCGTGAATGGATTCCAACTGGAATTAACGAAAAATCGGACTAATGATTATGATTAAAATATAACATAGAAAATATCGCGTTCAGATAAAAAAATTTTCTGGAGAATCGACGTTTGAAATCTGCTTGTGTGGTGAATTTTGCAGAATTTATTTATTTGTTACTGTCTTTATTTGTACTAGCATACGAAATAGTTTAGATTTCAATTCTAAAGGAACTTATTAGTAATCAAAATAGAAATCTTCATACCGTTTCCAAAGTAACCACCATCCGGACAAATCGTCACCGTAATTAGTGAGGTCCGTGTCATCTTGAGAGCCAACGTCTATCGCCAGAATGTGTTTGGCGCCGAGTGATCTCATCACGTCCGCTGGAATTATAATACAAATACTATAGTATATTTAAATACAATTGTTGACCAGAATCATCTATCATCAGGCCTAAAGAAAAAGAAACAAATATTCAAACTATCATTCGTCCAAGTCCTTTATAAGTCATTATTTGAATATAAATTATCATTTCATATAACATCACACACTCAAAGATATACTCACCAGGCACGTTATTAACATAGCAACCGTCCAGAAGCAGATGTCCATCGATGGGGTCGCATATCGGCGGGAAGATGCCCGCGATGCTCATTGACGCGCGGCAATATCTCCACAACATGCCTAATCAATCAATTACCTGGACTCAACGAAACCGCTTCCAATATACAGCCGTTGATGCCACTTACCTTAACTGAGTGTAAATATCGTTACGTGAGGGTAGTTTGACATTCCGTTCAGTGTTAATATTTACACTCAGGGTTCCTATGTTCCTATTTCGTTCAGCGGTTGTGATTGGTTTACCTGGGAGGTTGTTGACATAACCGCCGTCCAATAGTAGGTGACCGTCTACTGGGTCGCAGAGTGGGGGCATGTACCCGCTCAAAGACATCGAGGCGCGTATGTAACGCCATAGTGAACCTGCGACGCGTATCGTATATAGTACATAACATATGGGATGTTATACGACCCACAGCCGGTGCGAAATGCAATACTCGGTGTTATTAACACAATCCATGGAAAGGAAACGATGAGTTAGAAAAGCCATCCTTTATTCAATCGATAACCATAAATAAAGCACGGGAGAATCATCAGCAGACAACATGAATAAATACAAACTTTAATGACAGGCAAATTTAGAACCGCATTTGTAATGCGATCGACAGGTTAATAGAACTAATACAAAACAAAAAATTGATTACTCTATAGAATACTGTATAAAACATGCATATTAAATAATGAAGGCAATAATGAACAAGATCATATTAAATAGGTGAATATCTTGACCAGAAACTGAAATACAATATACAAATGTACAAATTACACCAAATAACTAATTACAAACTAAAAATACATAACTGTTTTTATACATGTATTTTAACTAAGGGCAATGTATTATATGGCCAATAAAATTTGGTTATATAATTGGTAGAATTAATTATTAATTTTTAAACAGAACTAAATAGATCATAGCGCCATCTATTACAGACAAATAAATCCATTCAGCGTTTCAGAGTATTATAAATTTAGAAGATAATTTTACAGAAGGTCTAAGATAAACTGAAATTTAGGGATTCATGCACGAATTATCTAATTAAAATGAACTATGATAACTACAGTGAGTTACGAGAATGTTTAAAGAGAACCACACTCATGCAAATACATGAAGGTTATGATAATGATTATATAGAAAAAAATATAAAATAAATACAATAACATCCAACCCGACATTATTGACGCACCGTTTGAAACGATCTTTATACAATTAATCGTTTATAAGATTAATCATTAATATAATTTAACTCCCATAAGCGTTACGTAAACCAATCACAAGCGCATCATTTTGTGACACAAACTGAGTATAAAAAAAATAGAAATGTCGGATTCGTATTGGAAACAATTTCGATTATATATAAACATTTATTAAAAATACACATAGATGCAAGTGAGTGTGGTTATGCGAAGGGCAAATTAAATATCACTGTAGCGGTAAGGGTATCTATATATCGCCATGGCCACCATACATATACAACATATAGTGGTTCTGACTTATCCGCCATAATATGAACATATATATAAATATATATTCTGGTCAGCAGACAACACTTACACATATAAATGCATGCGAAACACCAAATGTTCTGTGTGTACTGAAATATAAACCGTATGTTCGACCGTTTGATGTTTTTGTTAATATGTGAGGAAGCGGCAAAATAAATAAAAAAATAATTAATATTATTATAATAAAACAAAAATTTCCTGTCCATGTGTTGTGTTAATATCACTAACGGTCATTACATGGAAGAATTATGATCAAGTTTTTCATTATTAATTTTCAATATTTAACAATTAAGTGATCTATAAATTATAGTATTTAATGATAATAATTTATGCTATCTTTTTTGGAGTGAATGTTTACCGTGTCTATGAATCCTCATACAACTGGAGCTAATGTCTGTAGTAACTGTGAAATACGGCAGCCAGAGATCCTCAATATGGACCTCTCCGAAGGTAGTCCTTATAGTTGTATTGAACTGCTTGCCGGAGAACATAGAGGTCGCTGGGTATGTCAGGTCCAATAGTTGCTTACCCCATTGTGTCATTTTCTGAAACATTATTCATTCAATTTTATACAAATACTAGTTTTTGCCCGGGACTTATTATATTATTTTTATTATTTATCCGCGTTATTTCGGAATTAGTAATATGTGTATTGCTGACCGGGCGAACTCTATCCCGCCTTAGAGGCCGTAAATGACGAGATTTTGGAATTTATTAATTTATTTTCTTTTTTGATCAAACAGAATTAAATATCCTATGTCCGTCTCCTGGTTCTAAGTCCGTCTCCAATAATTGACATATGAAGTAGTTGTTAGATCTAATGTCCAAAAAACCGTTTGTGTGGGAAATAGAAAAGGGCTGTTTTTAGGGTTTTCAAAGAAATGAATCCATTTTTTTCAGATTTTAAACCTTACCTGAACCTCCGCGAACATTTCAAGACTAAGATAATATAAATCCGTTCAGCCGTTCTCGAGTTTTAGTGAGACTAACGAACAGCAATTCATTTTAATATATATAGATGTATGTGCATGAATTGACAATTAATATACAAAATTGACATTAATATTATAATTACAGTAGACCACTCTCTGGCTTTCTGTGTCACAGTAGTTATGTTTCTGTCCATACACCATAACGCCCCCATGAATGCACCAATACTGACTCCACCCACCATGTCTATGGGTATGCCGGCCTCCTGTAATTAATTACAAGTATTCATGATTTACTTAACTCCATATAAGAGAATCTGCACCCAAACCATTGTTGTAAAAACTGCAGAGTATAAAAGTGTGTGAATTTACAGGAAATACAATTACTGTATATTGTTCAAACAGTTATAAGTTAGAACCGATAGTAAAAAAAAGATAATATTTATTTTTATACAACTTTTGATGACACTACAATTTGAAATGTCAGGTTACAAGTCAATCAGTTAAGTACAAATGTACATAATATAATTACTATACACGCCGTCTAATATTTCCGATTTAATTAATGTCAGGATGTTTCAAAATATACAAATTATCGCGAGTACTCATCTAAATGAAACTAATATTTTCGGATTTACTACGTGATTTTTATTTTTGACTATAAACAACATACTCTCGACGTTTCGGCTACTTTACAGCAGGTATTTATCTAAACGTGTACCTATTTCTTGTATGGCTCAAAACTTTATATGTACACTAGAAGACCCGGCGAACTATTTTGGAGTTTACCTATTAAAGCCATAAATCTCCGTGTTTTGAAGTGCGACAGAATGATTGACATATTAGTTAGTTGTCAAATCTAATGTCAAAAAGACGTTTGTATCAACAACTACTATTATAAATTAAAAATGAATTAAAAAAAAACATAGTCCAGCGGACAAAATTGTGAATCCAAACCATTCCCAGATGCCCTTGAACACACACAAAAATTTCATCAAAATCGGTCCAGTCGTTTGAGAGAAGTTCAGTGATATACACACTCGCAGAAGAATTATATATATAAAGATATGTATGTAAACGTATCATGTATTACCTGTATGGCTCTTATCATACCGACGTGTGCGGCGCCCCGGGCTCCGCCCCCTCCAAGCACGAGGCCCACAGCCGTGGCAGTCAGCCAGCGAGCAAGTCGAGAGAAGTCTGAATGCACGCTAGCCTCCGACATCAGGACTTTACTGTACAACTCACTCTATAAAAAGAACATATTAATTATTATAAACAACATAAAACACTAATTTGGGTGATGATTCAAGTGAATGATGATTGGGTGAATATTCTTAAATTATATTATGTATAAAGTGGACGTGGTGACCTAGAGGTTAAAAGCTCGCCACTCGTGCATGAGAGCGCGGGTTCGAAACCTGGCAAGTACCAATAAGATTTTTCCGAGTCATTTGTACTTTCTAAGAGGATTTAGACACCACTGACAGATGAAGGAAAACATCGTGATTAACCCTGGACTTAAAATTTTGAATTATAAGTTTGAAATCACCAACCCGTCTTAATCAAACGTGGTGATTATCAAACCTTCTCTATGTGAGAAGAGGCTTAGCATTAGGCTCTGATAGGCTAATAATAAGTTATAATGAACTCACAATCCTATACTGGCTCTTCCTGGTGAACATTCTGTGTGGGCAGCGGACGTGATGATGCTGACTGACCCACGACCTCATGTTCAGCCAGTGTACAGTCCCTGAAGGATTGGGACCTCCTTCACGGTGAAGCAGTACTAACTCCTTCTGAGTACGGATGGCTAGCCGCTCGATTTCTTTCTCAATCTGCATATAGAATATGTATTTGTTTAACTAACAATCTATATTATTATATATAATTTATTAGTCCATACTCATATATATCCTACTAATATTATAATTGCGAAAGTTTGTGAGTGTGTGTATGTTTGTTACTTCTTCACGCTCAAACATCTGAACCGATTTTGATAAAATTTTGTATACAGGAAGCTGACGTCCAGGAATAACACATAGGCTACTTTACATCCCAGAAATCTCGGAAATCCCGGAAATCCGCGGGTAACACCGCGGGGCGCAGCTAGTATATATATATTATGTATATATCATTTATTAGCAATTAAATTTCAAGTATAATATAATCAATATATACTTACTTTGCCGATACTGGGTTGTTTATCTCCAAGAGCTACTATCAAAATACAATCCGCTTGTCGAATGCACCGCTGGGTCCACTGAGTGAGACTTGGATCACATTGATATAATGCTACCTGCAAACAAATTTATATTCACCACACATCAATATTTCAATATAATTTTATCATTTATTCCACTACAAATAGAAAGAAAATTTATTATTGTAGTATTCATTAAAACTGTATTAAATTTGTAATATATGTTTTATATTAAGTAGCAAGAATGAATGACAGAAACTAATATAATAAAGTGATTTACCTACATTACACTTGACATGATATTATTTGATATACACAACTAACATATAAAAAACCTTTTTAATATACAGGGTGACTGGTGAATTACTATCAATATTTAAGGAGCATACTCGGTACATGATTCTCATTCGAATTATGTAAAAAAAAAATAAGTACTTAATTTTTGACCAAATTTACGTATAAATAAATAAAGTGTGTACACGTTCCAAGTATTCCAAGTGTGGACGCGTGCGGCGGCGTGCTGATACAACAACATGCCGCCGCGCGCGAGTGTGTGTGTGTGTGTGTGTATACCTAATCTGTAGGGTGTTCACACGATGCGTAATTAATTACATAACTTTTGGTTAACTTTACTTAGAAGTTTATTAATATTTATGTTATATTAATTTTTATTTTGTCATATATGATCGTCAAATATCACGTCCTCAAATATCGATAGTAATCCACCAGTCACCCTGTATATAAAATTATATTATATGAAAAATATAATAGTAGAAAACCAACTTTATGCTTGTCCTCTTGTTGTGCAAGCCAGGAGCTGAGACGATATTCGTTATTCGGATCCATTATGGTCAAACCCAATAGTTTTCGGATGACGTCAGACGTCAAACGAACCGTCGGACCTGAAACGAATGATGAATGAATTATATTACCTTCTTGTTCACTCTTTCTCTTTCGTTCTTCTTCATTAATGAATGGTTATCGAAATAGTAATATTATTAGTAATTTGATATATAGTAAATGTGGTGTTGTCTTACAATATTTCTATTATACAGCAAAGAAAATATTGCATATATTTAGTATACTGAGTCTTATTTCAGAACATATCAGTTCGAATCCTGATTTATATTTCAACTAGCTTTCCGCCCGCAGCTTTGCCGGCGTGGAGTTCGTTTATATCGCGTTTCCAAGAGAACCTTTCAAAATTCTGGGATAAAAACTATCCTATGTTCTTTCTCAAGGTCAACTCTGTTTGTACCAAATTTCATTGAAATCAGTTCAGTGGTTTAGTGGTTGAAAGCATAACAGACAGACAAGATAGAGTTACTTTCGTATTTATAATATTAGTAGTGATTTTTTATCGTGTAACCTACCAATAGCGCACAGTGAGTGATACAACTCGTAAGTGAATGCCGTAAGCGGTACATCATCACTGACAGGTACCACGGCCACTGTTGAGAAGTTGTGTTGTGAAGGACGAGACTCGATAGCAGCGGTACCCAGACCTCGGGTGGGCTTCTGCCATGATCCTATGGAAATAACAAATATATAATAAGCAAAATAAGTTCGACTAAATGCTATAAGATCATATAGGATATAGTATATTGTGCAACTAGTGCGAGGTTGTCGGCAATTGACACAATACTATTTTATTTCTTGTTATTTATTTTATTTTCTAGAAGTTTTTTTCATCAATTTTCATATTTGCGTGTGCCAATGTAATCTTGTCGCACTCAAATCGAAATTTAATTGTGAAGTGGGCAATTAGCATCTTTTAGACCCTAAAAGCTTCTACCCGAATGAGTACAAAAAGGATTTCGTATCAGAGCGTGCGTTTGCAAAACAAACGGAAAGATTACGCTTGATCATTAGCAATAGTTTAGTTAACGCCCCGTTTATCATCATGGCTGTGGACCCGTCTTTTGTCTAAAGATTCCTAGAAAGGTGAAGTCCGACACCTAATTAGAGTTAAATAATTTTAAACATAAATGATAATGTCTTATTGTCAATAATTTTAGTATCTCATGTACTTTAGTAATAAAACTCTGTCACTTTCGCTATTCGTTCTCAATCTACCACTTAGTTGCTTAAGTGTGTATTCACACACATTATATATATGTAGTAAGTATTATTTAAATTCCATACTACATCAATATTATTATTATAATATATATTCATATTTCAATGTGCAGATAATAACCTAGAATTCTGTGTCCCAATAGATTGATGAGTCGTGTCACAACAACGGGGAACCGTAGCTTGATAGCGTTGAACAATCCTTCAGGTAGTTTAGCGAGCTCGGAGTCTCTAACCGCCATCACAGTGGTGCTACGACGAGTTTGAGTGACCATCTCTACCTATAAAGATTATTAATTAATTAATTACATATATATCGAATATATATGTAATCATAATAATAATTCATAATAATTCAACATTTAAAACTGATATAAGTTTGACAAGTAATTGATGCTAGGTTAAATATTATATACATTTGGATTTAGATATAATATATTAGTTTATGAATTTATATATTTTAATTAAAACTGAAATGTGATTTTAGTGATAACATAGAAAGATAAAATTTATAGCTAAACTAGGGCTTAAATAACTACAATATAAACTATATTAGAATCTAAATAATGAATAACACAATGTAATTAGTTATAATTATTTTTTATATCTATCTATACATATAATAAAATTGTAGAAAAGTGCTGTCTGTACATTGAAAATAAAAATAAAAAAAATAGCAGGGGTTATTGTTATGTCGATGTCGAACCCAAAAATGTAATTAACTTTTTTTTTTGTCTGTTTGTCTGTTGGCTGTTCACGCTAATCTCAGAAACGGCTGATGCGAGTTGGATGCGGTTTTCACAAATATATTGTGGTATGCTTCAGTTATGCTTTAGAGTTTGTTTCATGTCAATCGGTTCATAAATAAAAAAGTTATGTCAAAAAAACGCTGCTCATAGTCACTATTCCACGCGAACGAAGTCGCGGGCACAGCTAGTTATTATATACGAGTATGTATGATAATCCTTGTTGTTAATGTTCTTGCTATATTAGTTGTTTTCTCTTATATAAAGTATAATAACAATCCATGTCAAAATAATTGTGGAAACTATTCAGTCAAATTGCTTTGCTACAAAATAATTTATTGTAATATAATCTATATGTTATCCCATAAATAAATATATATATTTCAATACACTCACAATGCCAACTAAATCACCCTTGCCATATTCCCCAACTAATTCCTTCTTTCCATTAGGATGTGTGATGACTGACCGCAGCCGTCCACTCAGTACTATGAATGTTGAACCGGATTCCTCGTCCTGACGATACACAGCTCGACCTGATTCCAGGAACACCTGAAAATATAATGGAATTAATGAGAATAACACTGGAAATATATGGAATTGTCCAACTAATATTATAATTGCGAAATTTTGTGAGTGTGTGTGTATGTTTGTTACTTCTTCACGCTCAAACGGCTGAACCGATTTTGATAAAGAGTAAGTATGAGTATGTATATAAACATATTTATCTGCTAAGTACTAAGAATTCTTATTAAATCTGTATGTTAGAATGGAAATGGTTTTGCTACCATTAAATATTAAAAGACAACAGGATTCGAACCCGCTAATTCTTGAAACAGTAACAGTCGCTTCACCAATGAAGCTAGAATGAATTTTAACTAAAGCATTAGCTCAACATTTTATTAATACTAAAGACAAATTTGAAACTCATTCAATATAATAACACAACTAACCCAGTCCAAAGCGAAATCGACTTGTCTAACGAACGGCGATAGTCTTCTGACTACCGTGTTAGCTATGTGCAGTACTACGGAGGGACGTTCTCTCATTATACTATACACTGTTGTCTTAGATAACAGACCGATACGAGAGAAATGCTTTGCTCTTATTGAAAAGAAACTCGGCTCCCCCGTTAATACAGCCAGACCGCCTTCTACTTCACCTGGAAATGTTAAAGATATATTTATTTATATAGAACTTTAGGAGTATAGTATTCTATAATATTATATTAAATGTGTCTTGTATGTTTGCTAAGTAGATAGACTGAATGATAGAAAAGATTATAATAATCTACCTGCATTATAATTGTCATGATATTATTTAAGAACACCAAGTAAGTTACTAATACATAACAAGTAACAAGAAGCATATCTATACTAATATTATAAAGCTGTAGAGTTTGTTTGTTTGTTTTAAAGCGCTAATCTCCGAAACTACTGGTTCGAATTGAATAATTCTTTTTGTGTTGGATAATCCAGCTATCGAGGAAGGCTATTTAACATCACGCTACGACTAATAGGAGCAAAGATATAGTGGTAAATGTGTAAAAAACGGGAGATATGATTTCATCTTTGAAGCCCTCCTTTGCGTGCGCCGTGAAAACGGTTCAAGATACACAAAAAATATGTTTTAAAGAATAATAGCTCTTTTAATGATCTAAAAAACAGTCCGCGACAGTATATGTCTATCTTTTAAGATTAACTCACAAAAACCGTTTTTATGGTACCCAATTTGGTCAAAATAATTTAAGTTGTATCAACATAATATTATTAATCTTTATTCAAATAAACAAATAAATATGTTGTTGGTTAAGAGTACTTCATTGTGAATTAAAAAAAAAACATAGGTTTTATCCTGAAAATTCTACGGGAACTCGACCATCCCGAAAACCCCGCAAGAACGGGAACTATGTGGGAAGAACCAAAAATCTGCCGGATGTCACTATTCCACGCAGACGAAGTCGCGGCAAAAGCTAGTTTTAAGATAATCAATCTCAAGATAAACTTTCAACCTTTAAACAAGGATATATACTATATAGCTAAAGATAATAACTAATATTAAGCGTAATTTCCTAGAATTTTGACCAACTTATATGTATTATAGTGTGGTAATTGGTTGGCCACCATAATTAACAAACCTGGATATGCGGTGAACATATGAACCTCCCCCTCCCCCTCGGCCACGCGTTGTGACACCAACAGAGCGCCCGACAATAGATATACTAACGCTACATCCTGTAAATACCAAACATTACATGTATAAAGCAAAAAGAAAAATTAAAATGTGACGCATACGAAACAAGATAAATATCGTAAACAAACATCCAAAATATCATAGTATTTTTCCATATACAGATAGAAGTCGTTGACATAAAATAAGAAAAAATATGATAGTAGTAACTATTTACAGTTAGTACTTATGAAAGGATGAATAAAAACCAATTTTTAATTATTACAACATAAATATGTTTTAAATAATATTGCTACAAGTGGTTTGTTTACAAAATTTATCTTGTTTCATTAGCCTCACTGTATACACATGGGAATTTTTAATATGTTACATATGAGTGATTATCACAAGAGTGGTAACAAAATAATAAGAAAGTTACTGTATGAATGATGTTTCTAACAATATTCACACCACTCTTGAAAACAAACTCACGACTACCTGCACTACCTCCGGTTCACCAGCGACACTGTAATACAGCTTTTAGCAAACAAACATGTTAATCGTGATATTTATATAAATATGAAGTATATTTAAAGAAAATATACTTCATAAAGGAAAATATTTTATATAGAGTTAGTACATATACATTTTCCAATATTCAAGGTCAAATATTAATCTATATATGAAAATAGTCTAATATTAAACATTTTAAGCTTTTTTGAGTGAAATTTGAAGCTGAAATTCACCAATAAGTATTCATAAATTTTAAACATTTTACATCAACTCTAGTAAATACAAATAACGCAATACTATTCATTTTCTATAAACAGATATTACTTCATTTGTAAATGCCTCAAGTTTTTTACATACTTAAAAAATGATTTTATGACATATTTACATATATTGTTTAAGTAAAATCTAAAAGCATTTTTAATAAGATATATATTTTTTCTAATATAAACCAATCAGCCTTAAACTATCTTTTGAGCAGTGGCGGCTGTACCTTAAGTGCACTCGTGCGCTGAACCTCCAATTCAAAAGATTTAAAAATTACAAAATATTACTTCATCATTATTTTTAAATTACCATTTTAATATTTATTTTCTAAACATACAAAAACGTATAAAAAATTTAATTTCTAATTAGAGTCAAAAAGTTTGAGCGCTTTACTAAACTAATATCTCGTGCGCTTCGGCGAGTGCACGAGGACTGCTAATACATCTTGTATGAGATGCGCATTAATACGCCTGGCGCGTGAAACAAAAGATAGTTCATAGAAATGTACCGAGTAACGAGTCGGTTCTCGAGCGCCGCACGAGCGACCGAAGATTACCGAGAGCACCCGATGTATGACGAATTGGAATTGAAAAGAATCAAAACTTTTCTCCGAAATACCTTGAACTTGCTAAATGTTCTTTCTATGCTTAGTATTGAAAAAAATATATATACAAACAATACCCGATTTTAATAAAAAGGTGATTGAACATTTCGCTTCAGAAAAATGTCGTCGCATTGATTTAATGTATAAAAAACAAACATATTTTATGTCAATTCTAATTTTAATATTTTAGTAAAGTGCACCACCAGTTCGATAACCCACCAGCCGCCACTGCTTTTGAGAGTATTTTTAATCTTCCACAGTATCATTATATTTATGTTAATAAGTATATAATATACAACATAGTGTTACCTTGTGACTTTCCTCCTTCATGATGTAAGTCCCAGCGGGTAGATCTCTCACTTGAACATTCCCTTTCAGTATCTGATCATTGTCTAAACCCAGTTCCTTCACGAAAGCCTCCGATGCAATCTTTATGAGGGCCTGTCATACATAAAAAAACAAGTAAAGCAATTGTTCAAATACATATGAATTAATTAATTTATATAATTTGTTTTACTACTTTGTGCAAAACTATATATTAAACAGAAAATTTAAGACATTTTTAATAAGATTTATAACACAAAAAGCTGATAATTCATATATGATGAAGTCAAATAACAAATTCCGAATTTAATTTTTAAAAGATATATAACTATTTAACTAAAATGTTAACTGTTGTTAGTGTATATAAGACTTGTTAACCTGCTCATCTAAATTATCAGTATTTGGTTTCTTAAAGGAACCTTCTTTTGATCTTTGGAATGATGATGTTGGTTGTACATCTGGTTGAAGCTGAAAACAAAATTTTATTCATTAAGTAACACTTACAAACACATATCTTACTTAAAAAATGTATTAAAATTGCTTTACCAATTTTATCCCCAAATATATATTAATGAATTTGCTTGTTAGTCTAAACAAATTAGATAGTACATCTAAACGACTACTTAATAATTAATAAGAATGCAGTATACTACCTGCGTTGTATTTTGTGGCGTGTTTGACGTAACATCCGGTACCATGTCGGGTCGCTTCCGGGTCGGGATGTGGATGGGAGAGGAGACTTGAGATCCCTCCTGATTTATAATGTATATTAGTCACATTACGGCACAACTCACAAACACAAATAGATTTAACAAATATGTACTACATACGACAAACACTAATACAGACAATTTAATAGATATTGTATACTGTTTAATTATTAGTATTCAACATAACCATTAAATCTCATGCAAAATGATACATATATCTAACCATCAATTAATAGTACAGCACAGATTACTAAGTTCAAATAATAATATGAACCAGTACAAACCACTAATTCCATCTTCTCGTGGTGTGGTGAATTCAAAGTGTTGTCAACCCTGACCTTGGCTGGTGAAGATGTAGGCGCCGTGTTGGGGCGGCGTTTCTCACGACCCTAGAGTGAATAATTTACTGATGACTAAGTCAAAACATCACACTATACATTTGTTGTCTATGGTATAAATATATATTCAAACTCTAACCATAGACAATGGAATCTAGATTTAAATTCAAATCATGGTTTCGATAGGACTAAGTCAAGGCATCACACTTTACATTTCCTGTCTATGGTATAAATGGGTATTAAAACTTTAACCATAGACAATGGAACTAGATTTAAATTCAAATCATGGTTTCGATAGGACTAAGTCAAGGCATCACACTTTACATTTCCTATCTATGGTATAAATGTGTAAATAAACTTTAACCATAGACAATGGATATTAGATATACATATAAATTCAAATTATAGTTTCAATAGGAACAATATTGTTTCAACACTTACAGGATTCACTAACTCAGCGCTAAGACCGAGGTATTGGTGAAGAGCTGTGAAGGTCACTCTTTGGAGACGCACCATAATTATCTGGAAAATTGTAAAGCTTTTGTTACTATATACTATATACTTTAATGTTTCATACTGAATTATATTGGAGTTTTTTACGTAAATTTTTAATATTAATTGAATTCTAACTATATAGTTTTCTATGAGAAAAACACATATGTTACATATATTAGGTAATTTTGTGTCTTTGACATAGAAATTTGACAATTGTGATAGTTTAGCTAGTTTATGATGAGTATAAGTGAGATACCTCCCACGTAAGTTGTAGTATCTCCAAAACTGTAATTTTATAGTAGAGTGTTTCAAAGATTCAAATTAAACCAAAATCTGCATTTATTGATGCATCATTTTAAAATTTCGTATTTAAACTTAACATAATAGTCTTCTTAACTACTTTAAAGATATTTTAATTTACATGGCTATTTGCAAATATATTTTTGTAATATTTATTGTTCATACGACATTTTACTCCGTAGTAGAAGCTATAAAAAGTGTTGTATCTGATACTTACAACATTATACCGCGGCGCCCAGATAGCACAACTTGTGGTATATGATAGTTATAACTGTATACGTTGAAAAATATAAGTCTTACTCTGTTGTATGTAACCAATAAGCGGCGCGAGCGCGTGATTGTACCCACCTCGCGCCCCGCCTACACAATTGCATAGGCATGTACATCAGTTTAATCCGTTCGCGTTTGAAAATTACAACATTATGTGTCTGACAAATTCAGTTTTTGTTGTTTTTTTTAATTCGAATGGATGTAATGATCTATAATAGGATAACTTTCAGAAAAAAAGCAAAATAACAGTTTTGTGGCATACAACAAATTACGTGGGAGGTATCGAGTAATTTAATAATATTGATCTGTACTTATTCTTGACTCACCTGTATAACTCTGACAAATATATCTGGATACTCCTTGAAGACCTCTTGGAAGGCCCTCATAGGTAACTTGATGACTTGGGAATCTTCTAGAGCCTTTGCATTTACTGTTTTGTATGGCTGAGAGTGACCCTGAAGATTGAAGTTTAATAAAATTAATATGTATATATAAATAATAAATTGTTGCAAGTTGTTTAAACAAAGTGATTCATTTTTATTTGTTTGTTAGATTACAACAAGTATTAATAGTATACAATTGATTTTAATGACTGAAAGGTGTAAATTATAGTTGCTTTTAATGAGACTTTTTATTAATAACTTGCAATAACAAATAAAATTTTGTTATTTTACAACTAAAATTATAGTATATTTTTTAACTTAATGTCTTATATTTAATTTTCAAAGGGTCGCCTTTTTAAAAGATTTTAAGGCTTAAATGGTTTAGAAAAGATAGCTTGTCCTTCTTTGAACTTTCACCTGTATAAAAATTCGAACTAAATAAATACTGATACAATGATTAACATTACAAAGTGAAAAACTCTCATTTACATATAGATACAATTATATATTAATTTGACTAATGAAAATTATAGAATTTCAACGAAAATCATTCATAGATTATGCATGGAACATATTTTTTTTATCTTGGTAATGAAAACCTCTTGGTAGTCAATAATAATATAGATCACTCACTACCTAAAAAATTCTACGGGTACCAGACCACAATATTTAAAGTCGTTTTTACTTGGTAATGGAATCCCGATTAATGCTGATTCCCAATAAAGGGTTGATGTCAGGCAGGCAGTCGGTCGTAAAAACAATTAGCCAAAACTATTCACAACATGTAAGGCAGACCCTGGTTATTGCTAGGAAATTGCCAGGTAGAAGAGAATGGAAATTTCTCATCCGTCTTGATCATATACATTATATTGGGTATAAATCACCCGCTACCAAAAAATTCTGCAGGTAATAGATCAGCCACATACCGTGAGAACGTCAGTGAAGCTCAGTAGAGAAGTGACACTCTCGCCAGCTCGGACGATCTTCAACGACAGACTGCTACCATCAGAGTTTGTGATATAAACGTTCACGCGACCGTTCTGGACCACGTAAACATTCTCATCTGTATCACCTGGAATATTCAAGTATATTTCATTAGTACATATGTATGTACTAGCTTTTTGCTGCCACTTAATGTTGGTAAGGGAATTCAGTGAAAAACAAATTTGGTGGATGCGCCATCTAGTGGCATTAAATAAAAGTTTTAAATGATTATATGTAGGGAACATTTGAATATGGCAATGGGAATATAAATTATATTGTATATATGTATTATTCTGAGATATTTTATACCCTTGTTAGGTTTTATTAAAAGACGTGTAGTAAGTTTGAATGACAGAGTAATAAACATGTATAAAATAGTATTGTCATCGATTTCTCGAATATTAAATCATACTTAATCCGTCTATTTCAGTTCAAAAAAATAACAGTATACAATTTTACAGAAAATTATAAGTAAGTGTTAATTATCCTACGAGGCAATTTTTTTCGAGAATTGTACCGCATTTCATGACGATTCACTGAATAATTGGAGCATGGATGAGTTAACGAGATCGGGTACGCATTTATTACTGATATGGTAATTCATACAGTGATGCACTTGAAAGATTCATCACAAAAACATTTCAAAATAAACTTATTACAATGCAGACTAGATTCCAACAGTTTGTATTTAGTATTGAATGATTGAATCAAATGACTACTTGGACTGGGTTTATTCCTATGTATCCCTATCGATCCCATCTATCCCCTCAGTACCTTATCTATCCTATCTATCCCCGGTGTATCCTTATATATCCTATCTATCCCTGGTGTATCCTTATATATCCTATCTATCCCTGGTGTATACTTATATCCCATCTATCCCCGCTGTATTCCTCTCTATCCTATCTATCCCTGGTGTATCCCTATCTCCAACCCACCAACTTTAAACAGGAATGACCCAGCGGGCAGGTTCAATATCTCAGTATGTTTACACAGCATGAGGAACACTGGCTTCTCAAAGTGTCCGAACACTCGGATGCTGTGCAGCATGTAGAGAGCATCAGGTGGGACTCGGTCATCATTCGTCAAGTCTTCCTCGAGATATTCCGCTGGTGGTTCAAGGACCTTGAAAGAATAGATACAAACAATCAAAATTAAATGAATTGAACCAACTTTCTTGGGCATAAAATATATATAAAACAATTTAAAGTGGAAATAATGATAAATGAATAGGTTGCAATGTTGACATCTAAGACTTAGGCTTTCCTGACCTTTAGATTTCCTCCCAGCAACCATAATCACAAGCAAACGAGATTTGCGCGAGAGTATCTAGTTTTAAAAATAGTAAAATAACGCGTAATAATTCGAAAACATTAGTTTCATTAAAGTAGAACAATGTTTTTTGCCAACCCGTCTCGAGCAAGCGTGGTGTTTAATGCTCAAACCTTCTCCATGTGAATAAGAGGCCTTTGTTCAGCAGTGGGCTCTGATGGGCTGATGACGAATATTTTTTGCATTTTATAGTTGATAAAGTCCAGTCATTAGGAATTAAAATCTACCTTCAATTGTTCAGGTGCTGATTCTTTCTTCAGTTGCAGCAATTTCCTTGCGAACCTCATGACGGCACGCCGTTTCCTTCCCTGTCCAGAATTTGATATAGACTTGACCTTCCGTAACATACGTCTGCCGTAAAACAACATCTTGTCGCGTTTTCGGAACCGTTTCGCCGGTTCCCCGGCTGCCGTGGCCCCGGCGCCTCCAACTGCCTCTGTTTCAATATTATCGAAACTTATATTGAGTATACAAATAAACTTTAAGCATTCCTATATTTGATTGGGTATTTCTCTAAGAATCTTATTGTAGCAAATATTAATTTACCTTTTGATCGCCATCTCTTGTAATAATAGAAAAAAACGACTAAAACTGAAACCAACAAACAGCCACAGAACGACCACAGTACCTGGAAAAAGAAAAAATACTACATTCAAGGTCCCTTGTACATTGTCGTTGGATATTTATTAATACGAACAATTTGTAACTTTTTACTAACTTATTCAGCCTATTGTCACGATAATAAATCAAAATATACATTACAATGAATTCTATCATTAAAACTAATAATTTAATTTCACGCTCATAAATTATAAAACAATTTTCAGTCATATAAAAAATTGGCGCGAAAATAATGACAAAATGGTGGTTACCACAGCTAACATAAAGATCACAATAAAGATCGCTTAGTAACGATATCGGATCACGTATTGTGTGTTCATTGTACAGCCAATGTTCACTAACAAGACTATAAATACATTATCGTATTTTTATTATTACTGTAATCCCGACGTTATACCTTGATATTTTTATACAGCACATTAATTCTTCCTATTATAATTGACATGCAGAACGTTAATTCTTATATAATTAATATTTTTAATTAGTGTTCATAGAGAGTGTGGCCAATTAATCTGACATTACGAAGACTTTAAATCAACATTTTTTTGTTTATATTTTATTGCGTTCGCCTTTTATTTTCAAGTGTAGTTAGAATTTAAACTGATGAATCATAGTGGCTGAAATTTAGCTTTTTAGAATATTTTTAAATAAAGTTACAATTTATAGTTACTTAGTATATAAACCGAATCAAAAGAACTACAACATTTTTAAAAGATTTAAAAAACATGTAAAAAGCAGTATCCCGTCTAGATACATCGAATAAAATCCAAAAAACAATAAATATATATCCATTTGATGTAATAACAATAACAAATTAACACATTAAAACATTTCTAATAGAACTATGTCATAATTACTTCATATTATTTAGATAACAAAATGAGTACGATGGAACAACAAACATGATTCCGTTGACAGAATATATTTCAACTATTATCGAACAATGGACAAAATATATTAATAATATTATATAATATAATAATATATTGCTTCCACAATATTTACAATCCTTATAAAGATAACGTTATTAAATACTCCTTTTTATTATGACATGATAAATATTTGATATCCTAAACCGGAATATATATAAGGATAATATATTAAAAATAAAACAAGATAATTAAAGACTAAATTGGATATATATATTTCATTTATCTTAATATGTATAGGTACAGTTATTTTCTGATACGAGAACATTAAATAACTCAGAATTTTAGTTTCTTCGTCTCTAAATGAAAAATTTTGTAGACCTGTTTGCTGTAATTACGAAAAATAAATTGATTGCAACTATTTTTGTATTGATTCCAGATAACAGTAATGTTTAAATAATCTTGGCTTTATCTCAGAAACATCTAAAATATACATGTTTTGTAGCGAATAGCAAAAACAATACACTTAACAATAAAACAAGCATTAAAGTAGAATATAATGAGATTACAGAATAAAGCTACTTACAGCCTCTCTAGTAAAAATAAATTTTAAATCGTAATACAAAATTTACTTCCTACTAAACCTAACCTATTATATGCAAACATTATTATTGTATTTTAAATATTTAAACAAATGTACTCACAACAAAATACATTACAATAATATCTTTAGCGACACTAAACACGCGCTGCCCAAGCAGATATTCAAACAACACTAAAATGTTAAAAGTTAAAACAAACATTATACTCCTTATTGGCAAACTCGAGACTACGATGACCCCCATAGATCAGGATTTCCCAACCTCTTTAGTGTCGCGGCCTAGACTATAAAACTATAAAACCTTCGTCGTTTAACTGTCTTTTCATATATAAATACTACAAATATCTACAAACTAAGTTATACCCATAGTAAATTCGTAAAGAGTGCGAACCCAAGGTTGAGAAACACTGTTATGTAGATACAACGTACAACGTTTTATTTCGCAATTCGTTGATATTTGTCTTACATGAAATAACAAATTTACATTTAAAATAATGAAAATTAAATATATACATATTTTTAAATTATCCTTTTTGTTCTAGAATATTCAGTGATATTTCAGGCATAAAGTCATAAAATGCATTTTATCAAACTAAGATTATAGAGCAATTACATTATACAATGCCCAAGAGCGTGTTTTAAATATGTATTGGTAACTATATAAATAATTTCATATTTAAATTCTTTTGATACATATTCATTTTAATATTCAATTATATAAATATTAATATATGTCCATTGCCTTTAAAATTGTATTCTGCTTTTTATACAACCTGTCCATTTAAATCTTTATTTGTATATCATATATTTAATCATATAGTACATCAAAATTTTAATTAAAGATAAAAGATTGATTGGCATTAAGTAATATAGAAATATTTAAAAAGATAATGAAATTAAAAGATAACAAAAGATGCTTATCGAGTTTCATATTGTCTCTGATTGTTACTTAGAATAAAAACTGCTACAAATAAAATAGCCAGTGATGCAACTAGCATTATAAACTTTTATTGTGGTATATTAAAATTTTAAATTAATTCGTAAGGCAGTCTGCTTCGGTTTCATCCTTGATAAACGAAAGTAGATACCATTCAGCATATTATTTCTAATTTGTATGTATTATATACAGGCAGTATTTAATAGTGGAATAGTAATTAATGCTAATAATACTTTATTTATTTGAAGGATCCAAAATTATAAATTACAACTTAGTTTTGGTTTATTTTCCTAGTACCCACCACAAGAAATAATTTTTTTGGACAGAAAATATGTGTTTACAAGACATGTCCTGTGTCCATTTTACAACTGTTTGATAAATATAGAAATTTCATTAGAAGATAAAATATAATTGTGTATGGATTATGGAATGATTTGAAAAAAATAAATAAATTTAATTTAAAAGATGGGCATAAATAATAAAATTCTTAACCATTTTAAGTAGAATTTTGTTACAATATTAAATTTTAATATTACTTTATAGAATTATTTAAATATTATAGAAATTTTTGATAAATACATGGTTAAATATGAATAAAAAAATTATGATTATTACATGTTACAATATAACATTTGTAAATTAATTTTATTTTAATCAATGCAACTCAGCACTCAGGTCATTTAAATTGATTATCATTTGATAAAACATCAGTTACTTTTGAAAATATAATTTATATAACTTAAGAAAAACATATATCACAGAAACCTATAATAATTTTATATAAAAATCGAATTATTGGGTGTAAATGTATTATTTGATACTTACAAAATATAATGTTTAATGAGAATTATGTCAGCTATTTATGAAACAAAAAAATATTAAAAATAAATAGCACATTTATGCAAAGCATATTGATAACTTCTTTTTTTATAAAAAAAAAAAAATTATTATTTTAAGGCTGAATCAAACAATAATAATGCGCGTATTATGAAATTTGAAATCCTACAGATATATAATACATAAGAAATTTAAATGTTGTTATTAATTCCGTAAAAAAATGTAATCGGCTTAATTTATTACTTAATTCTTTTGTACAAAATGTTTTAATTATAATTTTTAACTTCCGGCATTATTTCAAGGACTTCGTACGATTTGCCAAACTCATCCAATAATAAGATAAAGGTTGCGAAGATTAAAATTAAAAGGCGACCAATTTTTCTTTAAATTGTTTATATAAAACATTTTAAACACTAATTTACTAAACAAAGACATCGAAAAATCAATATACTCACTTGATTGTCTTGAAAACTATTTGTCCATTCTGAAGTCCATGTTTTAACGGCGAACATATCAGTCTTATCGTTTATGTTATTTAAAAGACCTACCACGTCCATTTTCTTAATTCAATCAATTCCTACTTCGCCAATAATTTAAAAAATTATTTATGCAACATGAACACAGTTACCAATCAGCTGTTTCGCGACATAGAAATTGTACTGACTGAATAATAAGTTGAAGATTGACCGAGATTTGAAAGAATGGGAATGAATACATGAAGAGTGTAACGATAATGCTGAAAAAAATCTGCGTATTCGACTCAATGCATAAAAATTATCTTATATTATTTTTTTAGGAAAATTGTTCATAATTATTATTTCTGCCTAAAAGAATTACAATCAATAAAGTTTTTTGGTAATATCTCGTTTCCACGAAATTTTCTAGAAAGGCGTTATTCATAATATGTGATATCAGTTTTTTTTATCGAATGCGAAAACTGCAATCTTGAAAGACTTCGCATTTTGTTTTTACTATACATTAGGAAAAAATAGAACTAACTTTTCTTATAAATTAAACTTTTAAATACATAAATTACACTTTTTGGCTGCGAAACTTACAACCTGGTATTATTGGACAAGAATAAAAGTAAAGATCCTTTTTCATTTAGTTTGTCACTTCAAATCATAAATATAAATTCAATAACTGTTTTAATATTAGTAAATACTGTAGTAAATATTTGATTTCAATATTTGTAGAATTCTTTATTGATATCGACAGTATAAACATGAAATTATCAGTATTCCTTTATTTTATTCATTCACTCAACTCTTTAGTCTATGACTACAATCGTTATCGACGTTTGGTCTCCGTAACTCGTAACTCAGCCTGACATTCGTTCATTTCATGTACAACTTTGTGCACAGTGGACATTTTGTATGTCGTGGCAGATATCGTGATTAATTTCGCGTCGGATAATTAGTTTATCTTAGATTTATTTCTTTTGTTAATTTTATATTAGTTTCTTCAAGGTGAGTTTTTTTTTAATTTTCTAAAATGAAATTACGACTTATTTTATAATCAATATGGCGGCGGTATTTAAAACATTTTACTTTATTAGATGTCTCGGTACCGAGAATGGGATCTATCTTGCAAAGTGTACGTAGGAAATCTCGGCACAAACGCATCTAAATATGAAATTGAGAAAGTCTTTTCAAAATATGGAAGCATTAGAAATGTGTGGGTGGCGAGAAATCCGCCCGGTTTTGCGTTTGTTGAATATGAGGACCCAAGAGACGCCGAAGATTCAGTACGAGGTTTAGATGGCACGTGAGTATATTTGTATTTTACAAATCCACGTTGTTATTATTTATTTATTGATTGGATTGCTCTCGAAGTGTGATATACGTAATGGAAAACCTCCATGTTCTAGGCGCCATTTTATTTTCTCTTGACCTCGACTAATATTTTACATGCGGATAATATTACGTTTATCTTATCTTGTTTATTATGCTTATTATCTTTATCAATGTTTTTAAGTCAAGTCAGTTCTTTAATATATCTTAAGAGTTCATCTGTATTTTCGAAAACTATTTATCGATCCATCTGGCTCTGTGGCTAATTGTTAGTTCTTGCAAGTTACATGTCGTGGGTTCAATTCCCGGGTCCCATATATGTTACGCACGCTCCTTAGATCCATTTCATCTTTAATATGAAATGCTTGAGTCATAAGTGTGCTATAGAATAGTACCTCCATACTGAGACTGATATGTGAAAAGTTTTCTAAGTTGCACTTGTCTTGGAATGGGGAACATTTTATAAATTAAAATTAAGTAATGATTATTTGAATATAAGTATGTACGTATTTTTAATTTTATATTTTTTAATACAGTAAGTAGGTGTTATGATTGAGTTTTTATTCAGTGGAAGCTTAATTTTATATCTGTTTTCAGACGTTGTTGCGGAACAAGAATTCGTGTTGAGATGAGCAACGGCAGGACACGAAGGGATCGCAGGTACTTGAAGTACATTAATTGTACTTACATAAAAATTATTCCATATTTCACTTATCTTGATAACAACACATTAAACTATATATAAGCTGACATAGACACACATCTATGTGTCGTGACACAGAGAATACTCTGAGATCTTTGCTTACAACTAATAATTTATAATTAGACTATAAACAATATATGTATATACGAAACAAAATAGTCTGTTGTCATAAATTGTTGGTGGTTTGCAATGTAAAGGATATTAATGTAGTAGTTTTGATTGGTAGTGAATTGAAAAGAAGTTATTAAATGTGGTGGGTGTTGGAACGTTTACAGGTCCATTTTATCAACCAACCACCAACACACCAACGACCTCACCACATCTCTACACCACAACTACGGCTTCTTTACCAATAAGACATCCGCGACCGTCGCTCGCAACACCCCGCTCTGCGATCGGCTCTCCAAATTACTACGCGCAGCTGAAGCCTTCGTCAACTGCGTCCCTCCCCTCCTCTTAACAGCCATCACCTAGTCCCTAACCCTGATACCAAGACCTAACAGTTGTAAAGATGAGCCACAGTAGGAACCTAGTATCCTGTACCTTTGCAAAATCCTGATGCTTCACGACTGCACACTTTCGCCGTCACCGAGGCACGGAACTAGGATATCGACTAACGGAGCTCGACTCTTCCCCGTGTCCGCAATTTGTACTCGAAACTCCCGGTTTAATCATCATTCGAAGATCATGTTGCAACTTGCTCCGCCTCGATAGTCAAACCCCCTCCGGCCTCACAGCAGCCCTCACAACGCTCGGCGACCTACGGGCTCACCAAGTCTCGGTACTTAAAATCCTATACTTAGCACTGCCTTACCTTGTACCAGTTTATAACGCCGGCGTCATATGGAGCAATTATTATGTAGCCGACGGTTCATAATGTAACAGCTAGTTAGTTACTAATTGTGCTATTTTATGCAAATAAATGAAAGTAACAATCGATCCCCTTTGTATGACATACTGACAGACGTACTGGGATTCTGTGTGTGTGTATGGTATAGATAAATATTATAGTGTTATTGATCCGCAGAACCCGCAGCCGCAGTCCCCGCCGTCGGTCGTACTCGCGAGGTCGCTCGGGCTCCCGCCGCCGGTCGCCTTCAGTGAGACGTTCCCGGTCGCGCGACCGCCGCAGTCGTTCTGATAGCAAGACCAGGTACATAAGTCCCGAGAAAAGTCCCTACCGCCGTTCAGCTTCACGCTCCAGGTCGAAGGAGCGACGCAGCAGATCACTCAGTAGGAACAGGTGACTATAGATTGGTTTCTTTGATTGTATGTACCAAATACCAAAGTGATCCGTCCTACTGTCGGTATAAATAAATGAGGTATGAGCTATTAACATATTATACTCATGATTTATAGTTTACTAGAAGACCCTATAATCAAGAAATATCTGTTACGTTTTTTTATTTATATTTTTTAGTTTACCTATTAAAGCCATAAATCTCCGTGTTTTAAGTGCAACAGAATGATTGACATATTAGTTGTCAAATCTAATGTCAAAAAAACGTTTGTATCAACAACTACTAATAAATTAAAAATTAATTTTAAAAAAATTGTCCAGCGAACAAAATTGTGAATCTAAACCATTCCCAGATCCCCTTGAACACACAAAAAATTTCATCAACTCGGTCCAGTCATTTGAGAGAAGTTCAGTGACATACACACTCACAGAAGAAATATATATATATATATATATATATATATATATAAAGATTTATAAGTTTTGTGATTCATTGATGTTTTTTTTGTTCATAAAATAACCTTGTACCTTTCTTTTCAGATACTAGACATATCTCCGCCAATATTTGGTGATAAAAGACTTCGTTACTGTCAAGTTGTAATATAGTGATCAAAGTGATTTGTGTTTGTGGTGTGTTAAGTTAAGCAGTTACTTAAGATTTATTTTGAACAACCATTACAGCTTTTGTCAACTAACTGTAATAATTATGTAAATGAATTTAATAAAATAACAAAATTTTCAATAAGCAATTGTAACCATGTAGACAAAATATTGCATACTGTTTCAATGTACAACAAATAAATAGAATTTATGCAAATATAATATTTTTATTAGATCATCGGTAAATATAAAATATATAAAAGTTTAACAGTAATAAAATATTAAAAAACAAAAACCTTTATATCAGTCTTTAGTATTTTTTTTCTGGTGAACAATACCCTCTTTCCAATTAATCGGTTGTTGCTTCCACGATTTGAAAAAGTTGAAATAGTAATATGTACCAACAATAACAAGTATAGTCCCGATCACATGTAATAGAGTAAGATTATTCTTAAAAACTACGGCTGAGATTATAAGAGATACAAACTTTCTTAAAGTTAATATGAATGTAACGGTCATGGAAGTTTCCTTTGTAGCCAGCTCGTGAACAGCATGAGTGCAGTGTATTTGGGACAGCATATTAAGTGCTATAAAGCACCAGCAATACAGTGATAGGTTCATTGCTGTGTTTTGTAATCCAGGATACATCCCAATGAATAGTGGTAGAGAAAGTGCATGGGTATAAAAGAGCATCTGAAATAGTAACTTTTTTTATTAATATCAACTTATCACTTAAGTGATTAGTATTAATTCATTAATAATATAAAAAATCCTGTTCACCTCTTTAGGATGTTTCCCATATTTCTTAAAAATTAATTCTTGCTGGAGTCCAGTAAGTGCTCCAACAAATAACATGGTTATCAATATGGTAACACCGATACACCAGTGTAGGAACTTTCCTTTTCTTTCCTCAACAATGGAGGCATCTCCTAAAGTAGCCAATGAAACTCCAATACTAATGATAATGGAACCTATAATGGCATTTGTATGTGGTCTTTGTTTTTTTGCAAACCAGGACACTAACATACTGGCTGGTGATGAAGCTGATCTGCAAAAAGGTATTTAAACTTACAAATTTCAATAACATATCCTGGTAAAGTCATAAACTTGCAAAATAATTACCTTATAATCATATGAAGGGTAGAGGGAACATGCAAAGCATAAACATAGTTATTCGCAACACTCGTAATAAAAAACAATGCTATTAGTAAAAAATACTTTTGGAGCGGTATTTTTGGTGTCAGCTGAAAATCATGTAATCCACACAATACATAAGTAAACTGATTGATACAAAAACAAACGTTAAAGAAATATAACTTACTATATTTGTCTTCGAAAAGACTAGTCCCTGTAATGTTATGACAAAAAATTGTAGAAATGTTATAAAATTGGCACTATCTGGCGCCTTTGCCATTAATATTTCCATAAAAAATGAACTTAAACAACATCCTATAAACACGTTGACTACAGTGTTTAAATAGGTCATCTTAATAATAAATAGATATAAAAATCTCTTTAAAACAAAAATATTGTTATTATATAGCATGGACGGATGATGTAACACTCAATTCATTATCACGTAGTGATAGTAATTTCACTTTCTTATCAGCATTTTTGTCGAATATGAGCAAGACTTCTATAAACTAAAAAATAAAAAGTAATTAAAAATCAAAAATTAAATTAAATAAAACTACGTCAAGCTGTCACATTTCAGTGACAACTGACAACCATAGAGTGATGTTTTTTAATATTATTTTATGCTGTGGCTTCCTTTGCACATGAAGCCTGGAATGTTTTGCCAAAGTCTACGTTTTTATTAGTTGGACCAATAATAATTTTGAGTACTGTGTGGAAGAAACACGAAGAAGTTTGTGGAATAGAATAAAGGCTTATTGAAATATTTTTATTTTTTTAAAGAAGCACCTAGAAAAAAATTTATATTGATGGTTATATCCTACTTCAAAAAAGAATATGATTTCCATAGACTTTTTGTTGACTTAATGTTTTACTCATAGGAAACGGCTAAAAAATAAACCTTTCCATATCTTAAATATGTTTATTTGGAAAAAGAATTAGAATATCTTCCTTAAGTTGATAAGTTATTTTTACTAGTTACTTCTTTATGACAGATTATAGGTTTATTCACCTTTTCTGAAATTAAACTTATGTTGTGTGGGTATGAGTATTCTAAATCAGGAATGTAGGTATTACTGTTTTTTTTTAATTTGCAATATTGACGTCAACGATAATGCCCTTCTAAACATTTTTAGAATTCACCTCTTTTTAGGTAACCTCTCTTCAGATGATATAATAGATTGAAGATTTCTCTAATCCCAATATCAACTATTTTTTTTGTTTTCCCGGGGGAAATCTGCTCACAGATTTTATAACCGACCTGCGAAAGGTTTAGTTACCAGGCCTTGTCTTCGATACACTTCTGTACAAATAATAATAATCTAAATACATTATGTACCAAATTAAAATCTATTGGAGTATTTATTGTAGAATATTTTATATTGAGGCTTTTGAATCAGTAAGTAGTGTTTTACTAGAAACGTGATACTATTACTGATATGAATATTAAATGTCACTATCATAATATTAAATGAAATAAAACAGTTTATTACCTACCATAAAGCACAATAGCTTTTGCTATACATAAAAAGGCCGTATATGAATTTCGGTTGTTATTGTCATTTAGAATAAGTAATAATAATTAGTGGATTTAATTATTGCAAAATGGAGAAGATTAATTACAATCAGTACCACATATATTTTATTAGAACTACCATAGTAGTTCGCTACTTAGATGTTTAATTTGATTTTACATAAATATTTAGGTTAGTCGATTACCAATGAAGCTAATAAGTTGTGAGGCTTCATTATTTAAACGTGATTATTTAAAAAGGTGCAAACTCTTTGATAGTTTTAGATGTAATCGAATTGCAATATTTTCTTCATAAAAAAAAATATTTTGCATTAAATATTGGTTGCTTATCATTTTTACATAAGTTAGAGGCTAAATAATATAAAAATATTTAAAAAGTTGCCAGAACCGCAATAGTACTTTTTTATAATAAAAAGTTAGATGTAAGACGGACATAGAAAACAACCGATAAAATTACTTAAAATTATGGAGTCTTATTTCAAACAAAAAAGAAATATTTCTGCTACCTACTTTATAATGTATGAAACATCATTTTAAACAACGTTTTAGTAATAAAAGCTTTTATCCTCTTACGGAACAGAAAATTTCGTTCGGAATAATATTGACAGTATAACACCTCTCCCTCTCTATAAACATATAAAAGTACTGTGTATAAAATAAAACACTTTCTGGTAGAGATTCTTAAAAAATACTCGGTCTAGACAGCTTCTTAATCGTACTTATACCCTATTTGAAGAGAAACATTTTGATCAGGGAAGAATCGTAATTATTTGTTTGTGGTAGAGTCAAGTGACTGTAGCTCGAATATGGGCTGGATCGATCAGGGCAGTACTACCCTCTCACAGAAGATCAGCTTCAAGTAGTCTTTAATGGCTGCGTTTTGTCCGATGAGTGAGGGAGCTGGTTGTCCTTTCCTTTTTCCTATCCTTTCTGACACCTTCACTTTTCCCTCCCTTTCCCTCTTTATCCTCCCTCTATTCCCTAATCAAGAATAGCAACACAGCCGCAAAATTATGTTTTGAATGTCCATGGGCGATGGTACTATCTCCATCAGGTAAGCTCTTTGCTCGTTTGCCCCCTTTAACGTAAAAATATATTAAAAAATATAATAAACCTTAATAATAAAAGAAATATAAAGAAGATTATGAAATTGCTTTTTACAAATTAATCTCACATATTCTTTACTTTTGATGTTAAACTTGAAGTTTTTAACTATATTAGACTGCATATAAATAGGTTGGCAACAAAGTCTTTTTGTAATATTTTAAAGTAATTAGTTTTTGAACAAAAATCATTTCCTTATTGAACTTTGTGCAAGCCATTAAAAAAAATATTACCTCAGGCAATTAATTTATAAAATTGTCACTGATATCATGTATTTTTAGAACGCCCATAACATATAATTGAATTTTGAAAACCACAGTAAATTAACAGATTTTTATATTGAGAAAGTTAAACAACCTTGCAATCAAAATAAATTTTAAAACAGAAAACTAATTAATTTTTCCCCCACCTATAATATTTCTCCATGTTTGATTGCGATTGACGTCATATCCCCAACGATGCTTCGTTCACCAAAACTTATGCTAAGAAACTTTTTAAGATGTCTGTTTCAAAATTGATTTACCAAATTCTTTTTGAAGTGAAACTTCTTGTGCGACTTCATACAAAACGTGTTACAATCCTTACATTTTAACTTTTTTTTTTTCTAATACGGTCCCGTGCTTTCAGCAAATGATTGCCTATTCGTAATATATAACACGTCCATTAAAAAAAAACCCTTTTTTTAAACTGTTTTTGAAAGCCCGGATTCGCTAGTGGTTTTGTAAACAAGAACTGTATTAAAAAATAATATCTGGTTATTACGATGTAGATATTGAATAACAATCTATATAAAATATTTTATTGAATATGTTAACATTAAAACACAAATAAAATGTTATTTCTGTATTTGCATAGTGATAGTGATATTCTGTTGTGGTTGTCTTTATGTTGAGCTCATTTGCCAACAAAGCGCTTTCCTACGCTGCATGGAATTAATATCCGCCGGCATTCTGGCATCGCGCCTTCGCCGTCCGCTTTGCCGCGTCGAGGCGAATAGACGTGTATCGTTTTGGCGCGAAAATGATTCCATACGATTCCAGATATCGTAACCAGAGTTACACGTTATTCGATGTATAACTGTTATTTTTATACTGTGATTAAAAATTAACAGTATTTATTTAGTGATCAGTGTTTAAATATATAGTGAAGTGTCAATAAGTTACTGTTACTTTTTTTCTCACTATCGACTGCACAATGCAAACCTTTTTGAATTTAAATGTTTATATTTTGAAAGTGCATAATTTGGTACTCTTTAAAACATGTTGACCAGTTTCTTAGTGTTTTCATTATTTTCACTTGAAACCTTTCAATTTGGTAAGTAAAGTAACGTAAAATAACGGATACTTTTAAATAATCTACCCACTAATAACTTTAACGGATTTTATTGTATAAATACAATTTTTGTGTCAAACTTATTAACGACATTATAATTAATACGTAATACACTAAATGGCCATCAAATTATATATTTTTTCATATTTAATGGATGTCGTAATTTTAAATTACAACACATTAAGTTACAAAATCAAATGATCATTAAATATGAGCTCTTTAAATCATTAATCCTCACTTTGTTGATCAAATATTCTATTTCATTATAGCTGAACAATGTACAGATACAATATTTTACCTTGAAGCCACAATATACGAAACTAGTAGCCGTATATCCAATTAATACCTATATATTCTAGATTTCGTTAATTTTAAAGATATTAAAATAATTGTATTAAAGAAAAACATTTTTAATGTATCTTTTGTGTTAATTTTCCTCGTTACCTTCATACTTTGTATAAAATTATTATTTAATTTTTTTTTAGCTATAAATTTTATCCGTTCATATTTTTTCTTTATTTATGCAATAGCTAAATTGTATATAAAATAAAGCAAAGTAATAGCACCTACTTACTAACCAAATATTTCACGGATGTATGATAATGACGTTTTTCGAATAACAACTATATTGTTATAACAATAAAAGTTATATTTGTTTAAATTATTGTTAATAAAAACTTTTATTGCTAACAGACAGGTTAATTATTATTACTCAATTTTTATGTAATTCCTGCGTTTTCTATATATTTTATCGTAATATTTATAGATAAGGTAAGTATTAGGAAAGTCCATTTGTATATCGGTAATGACAACAAACGGTACTTTTTGAAGTAACCAAAGGGGTTGTCCCGAAATCAAATTATTGTTGCTAACTAAACAAATTAGTCAACGATAAATTGAACAATAAGTATTGTTAAAATACCCGCGTTCTGAGTAACATATTTGTATGATAGATATTTGATTTTACATTTCCATAATATTACTAAATGTGTAAAAATATCTCGAAATGAGATGGTTCAACATAAAAATAAATGAATATTTAAAAACGTGGAACGACCAAAAAAAAGGTCCAAGTGAGAATTAAATGTCATGTTCACGCGACCGTTACGTCACCTGGCGTGAACAACGAAAAACTAATAAGAATACAATAATCATACATTTTTGACAATTTAGGTATAGTACCTAGTTTTTATGTAATTTTTTTTATAACCATAAAAGAATGTAATGGAAACTTAATGTTGTTTATGGATAAAATTCGATTTCCGTAAACATTTGCTTTATATAGTTATTTTATCACTTATGTCCTTTAATAGGTTAAGCATATTTTGAAGAAATATTAGATTAAAAGTCATTTTGGACACAGAATGTCTGAAAAGTAACCCAAATACCTTGTACCTCTTTTTCTTCTTCCTGGCAACTTGCCAGCTTTAGCCAGGGTCTGCCTTATCTGCCTGCTTGTACCATTGTATGTATATTTAGAGTTTAAATTCAAAAAGTTCTTCAATAATAGAATGCATATTTTTTGTTGTATTAAACAACCTCCAAACGTGAACTGTGTTTTTTCAAGCAACAAAAACCTCATACTCTATTGGTTTAAGTTAACTATTTTTATATATTTCATACATAAACTAGTTATGCCGCGCTGTTTCACTCGCTTTTCAACCGACTTCAAAATAATAGGAGGTTATCGATTCGACTGTATTTTTTTTATATTACGTACGTATATTGTTATAAAGTATAAGAGATTTTAGATAAGACTAAAAATATTTGTTTTTGAAATACTAGTCTCCAAAATTTGTGACTAATCAGATTAAAAGCTTCATAACTTTAGGTGAAGTAATATCCAATTAGTCTGAGCATATATAATAATTATTCTAGTACATTAAGTTCTAGAATATTTTTCTTTATCGATGTTTGTAATAAAAAATGTCTAAATTATTTAAGTAAATAGTAGAACAACGAATGTGAAATGCCTTGAAATAGAATGCTCGTTTTATAACAATTTTTATAAAAAAAATGTTGGTTTCTAATACAAATGAAGAAGAATTTTGTTTTCGTTTAGAAAAATATCTTTATTCTAGAAGAGCATGCAGAAGGCTTATATTAATATATGGTTCTCATCGTCAAATTTCATATTTATCCTTTAAACTTTCTCTTAAGTCGCATCAGAAGTAATCCGTAATGAATTCGTGATCGGAAAGTTAAAAAAAAACCTGAGATTACAAGAGAAAGTACTTTGGTGTGTTCATATGACATAGCATTATTGAAATATTAAATTCTTCAATTAGTTGTACATATTTGGAGGTATCAAATATGTTTGGGAAATATGGAATTGAGTAAAAAATTAAATCGAATGGAACACCCCTTTTGTTGAAGTCGGTCTAATGTAATGGATAGTACTGAGTTATATATATTGCGATTATTTTTATATATTAATAATTAATTTATATACAGGAATTTAATGAATATAACCTTCTTATATGATGAAAAGAATATTTCCTAATAAGTATTACAATATTGCATTAAATTATTATATCTTAATTTTTTAATACATTAAACATTATTTTATAGTACGTATATTTGAAACGATTTCAACTTTCTCTTGCCAACTCGTTTGTTTACAATGCTATTTTTGATACGCACCATTGTAGTTAATTGGTGTATTGACCGCTTTTTGTCATATACCAATGTGGATGTATCCAGGGTCGAACAGAAAAGATAATTCATAATATTATGTTATTTTCACTATTTGAACTCTAGATAAATTATTTGTGAGGTTGCTTAAGTTTTATTTGTACGATTTTTTTATGGTACACGCTAATTGACGTATAGTCATGACTTGTATATAAGTTCGACTGACGTAGAAGAGGTAATATGTTATTAGTTCCGGTTGATGATAAGAAGAAATCGTATTATGAATTGTTATTAAAAACGTGAAGTTTGTAATACTTTATATAAAGTTGATGATTGTGAGAATTCATTTCAATTTCGCCTCTAATGACTAGAGTACTGTATATTTTCGTCTTATGAGAGCTATGGCTAATTGTCGTATTATTTCCATGGTGACGGTTTTGTTCACATAACCAATTAACATATGTATGTCAAAAGTTCTTTTATTTGTTCAATTCTAAGTTAGTTGAGAATACAAGGTCATTCTAACAGTAAAACACGTATAAGTATGTGATCCAAATTCTTTGTTTTTACTAACCCCGTCATTATCTATCTATTTTCTAGCCAAGAGTTATCTGGGACGTATTATTTTCCATACTAAAGTTCTCAGGAGCGAGTCCAGTTAGTTTTATACCACCGTTGTTTGACACACTTGGACACGCATGCGAAATTATATGTATATATAAACAATTATATTTATAAATAAATTCTATTATTATAATGATTTTCCTATTTTCAATACACTTATCATTCCTGGTTCGATTAAACCACTTAATGGAAGAGCTAACGAGGCATACTTATAAGTAAATCAGCATTCAACATGCACATAATGAGCACGTGGTCATATAGTTATAAAATAAATCATCAACAGCTTTGTTGTTTAAATTTATATGAAAAAATTCACGACGATTCAAAACACGTACGATAAACAGCGACCGGTTATTTTTGGTGTTCAGTGAAATACTATAAATATAGTACATTTTTGTTAACGTTTTACGACTAATACGCGTTTTAATACATTGTTTTTGATATAAAACATATATTCTATATGAATTTGATGGTATAATAATGAAAATCTTCTCTATCGTATTTATTTAAGACTAGCTTACCGCCCGCAGCTTCGCCCGCATGGAGTTCAGTCATATCACATTTCCAAAAGAACCTTCCAAAAGTCTGGGATAAAAACTATCCTATGTTCTTTCTCAAGGTCAACTCTATCTCTGTACCAAATTTCACTAAAATCAGTTCAGTGGTTTAGGCTTGAAAGAGTAACAGACAGACAGACAGAGTTATTTTCGCACTTATAATATTAGTAGGGATAATATGTATACAATATCATCAGGTTGTTACTCTACGACACGTGTTCTCATTGTATTGAATACTTAATAAAATGATACATAAGTCATACTATAATTACATTGATATTCAAACTATTATTGGCTCTGTATCTCTTAATGAGCTCTTGGTGACGGTAATGGAATCGTAAAATGTAGATGATTTGTATACATATTATATATAAAATTCTCGTGTCGCTGTGTTAGAGAACTCCTCCGAAGCGACTGGACCGATTTTAATGAAATTTTGTGAGTTTATTGAGTAGCTCTGAGAATCGGACAATATCTATTTTTCATACCCCTAAGTCATAAGGGTTGTTCACCTTTTTTATAACTAGCAACTAGTCGTGTTTTATTTATGTATATAAAAGTTTATTTTTGTATTACTCTCAGTATAAAAAGCTTTAATATTTCTTCATATATGAAATGCCGTGCATATTATACATGTTTGATTTGAAATATCGTAACGGTGACGAATGTAGACCCGATAGCTGTTATTAAAACTAGTGTTTCTGATAAAAAGTGAATAAATCACTGTATAGCTAAAGTTTTATAGTTTCTATGGGACATCTTATCGTGGTACTGGCAGACCCTGGCTAAAGCTGGAAAATTGCCAGGTAGAAGAAGATCTTATGGTGGTATGTAAACATTGCCTTGATATATTCAGATCACGATACCAATGCACGTGTTGCATGATGGATGTACCTCTTCATGAGACAGACGTCTGTTAGTGCTTAAGTGGGACAGAGAATATTCTACTACCTACCATTAGTAATGCTTTGAGTCTATTTGTAGTTATATTCATATATTCAACGTACATACGATTGTCGTGTAAAATAATGAATGGAATTTTAATTAAACAGACGTTAAAAATGTTTAATAATGTAGAAATAGAACACATTGTCAATGAAATGAAAATTATCTTAAAAGACGCGGCTACAGCGCTCATATTGATGGCGTCATAGCGAGCAACTTTCTGTTAACTAAGAACGTGTTCGACAGCTTACGTAAAGCTAAGCTATAAATAGAATACACAGCTCATTATTAACTTAGTGGTAAACTCACTGTTGGGGTAAATACAGGTAACCGTTGCAAGGATGCTGTAATTTCATACATTTCATAAAAGGTAAAGGGATACCTCTAACCCATCCGAATACATGTTCATATAGCTAATGACTCATACGATGAGAAACCTTTGTACGGATCAAGTTCAAAACAAGTTTGTAGAAATAGTTTCGACCTTCTAACTACGATATTTCAAATAAAAATGGCATTAATTTAAAACCTGATTGTTGAGATTGACGAAAAATATTTTTAACATAAGTACCATGGACATAGATTCTTGTGTATTTTACAAATCGTATTATAATTACTTAGATGATTTAAAATTAATATATTTGCTATTGACCGCAAACTACCAACTACGTCATTTAGTTCTATATACTAAGAAGACTGGTAATCAAATTACCTTTCTGGTTATAATAAGTAGCTGTTATTGCACCATGAAAATTCCGTATATTCTATATGAATGGACTGTAAGATGTTTCATTATTTGCAGCCTATGCCTCCAGCCTACTATGTGGGCGCACCAAGGAAGTGGAGGTGGGTAATAACGTCGGCGCGGGCGCAGCGCTGGCGCTGACCCTACTGAGGCCACAAGCTGCTACAACCACCGGCCCTTGCCAGCTCAAGCTGAACGCACCGGACGCAGCTGCCTTTACCGTCCGCCTTATTGATGTCAAGGTAGGTTTTATGATATGTTTTTTGGGGGAAATATTTTGGGGCCATGTTTTGTTTTGGGGACATGTTTATTTTTTGGGGACACGTTTTTTTTGAGGACCTGTTTCATCAGATAGATTCTAGGTCTCACTGTAAGTAACTGCTTAGAACATAGCTACCATCCTGTTTGAATGGTCCTTATTATGACATTTAGAATCCTGATATTATTTTTAATACACATAGTATCACTATAATTACATTTATGGTTGACCAATAGATACATGCCTTAACTTTTTGTACAGTTGCACAGATGAAAAACATTTTGCACAGTCAGCAAACTAGTTCACAAAAACATCATACCTTTCATACTTTGCAAGAATCTAAATGGATAATTCATTCCTTCATAAGGAAAAGAGCGTCCCTTGTATACTTTTTCTAAGTAGGACGTTGTGTCCTTCTAGCAATTTCTATTTTCGTTAGACAATGCACGGTGATCTCATGCATATTGGCTTTTAAAAATAACTATGTTGAGTATTATTTAAGAGCATATAAATCTGTAGTCATATGGCTCATTATTATATAAATTATGTAACAATACAAGTAGTATATAAGCTATATGTTATAACATAATGAACCGATACAAAAGTACTTTTCTCACTCGTGTGGAACCCATCGTGCGTGAGTCACACTGCACCTGTGTTTTTTTTATATTAGTCTCATTAGTCATTTGTAGATTATATTTCTTTATATAAATATTACTAAATACTATACATATTATATATTTATTTAATAATCTTAACTAGATAGACGTGGCTGTCTGAATGTTTTGTTTAATTGAAGGCATAATAGCAAAAAAATATATTTTTTTTAATTATTAATAATTTTAATATCAAAATATCTGTTTCGCCAGGGTTCTATGTCGAATATTTTACTAAATGAGCAGACCAAAATATTAAAATTAAACTTTCGGCGTAGGAATCATATATACTTATATGTATATATTCGTTTCGTAATGCTTTAAATTTGAAAACACGAACAGATATTTTAATTATATTTATTATTAGATATGACAAATTGGCTGTACCATACCATTAATATAATTATCCCGTCTTATCTCTTCTTAGTAATAAATATTATATATGAGATATTCATCTTGGTTTATTTGTTTAGCAAATATTATGTACAAAGTCATCTGTTTACTCAGTAGCTGCTCCGTGACTGTCGACGCTCATAAACAATTAGCGAGTAACGTCACTACATTTTTATCTCTCTACACCTATATTTTAAGAAATGACACTAATATTACATATAAAAAGCGTAAAATTATCTAACAAAATTCATTATGTACGCTTAGAGACAAATCTCTGCAGAAAATAGCAATGCCGCAAAGTGTCAGTAAATCATTTGTTTCACAACGTTTATTTGCATAAACCATTTGCGGACGAAACTAGTTTGTAACAAGGAAGTCACAGTAACGTACACAATACAAGCTGTAAAGTATATTCGATATACTAGTAGAAGTGTTGCAAATATAACATAATTTTAAGGTGGGAATTCACTTGGCGTTTATTTGTTATGTTCCGCAAAAAAGACCATGTGTGGAGGATTTATTCGTGTTTATTTGACATATTTGCACAAATAAGACACATAAAGACGTGATGTTGGCATGCCATGTGTGGATGTAATGTTTGCGCTATTTGGACTACCTACAAATATTTGGACGAATGCGACGAATACGCAACTCAAAGTGAAGTGCCACCTTTATATTCACATCACATTAGAGTTATTGCAGCAATTGGTACATTTCGTGATGCCATAATGAAGTCGTTATGTCCAAACACAGAGGACATATCTGATGGCGTTCCACAAGGCAATGTATTTGTTTCGCTATTATTTTCGACATCTATGTATAAGTGGGAGCTAGGAGGAATTTTTAGAAACTTAGAATACTATTTACTTAACCCATACATACAAAATAATAATAGGTACCTAGTTCCATATAAATCTTTGTGATTTTTTTAAATTATATATTTTTTTCTTTCTTTGTTTTAACATAGTGACAGGAATAACAATTAAAATTTAAGTATGTTTACTTAAATGTAAAATAAATATAAATTATGATTATTTATAAATATTTGCTTATAAACAATCGCACTTCAAGCAAACATAATCTTAAACATTATAAGTGGATTCCCCTCTAATCTATTACAATTTGACTCATATATGTCTACATAGTTATTATATATCAAACACTATAAATAAGACGCACTTAATATATTAATACCATATATATAAATACACGAATATGTTGTACATATAAATAATAATATAAAATAACAATAGGAGTCAAAATAATCAGCTGTTATCAAGGGCAGGGCAACGAGATAAAACTTAACCCAAACATATTCGGGGTTGATGTCTTCTGGTCAGATGAGAAGACATTAACCTGGAACTGATATAACATGAACCGTCTGAACATAGCTTGGTTACCAAGATAAAGGGTGTTCATTGTTTTTAATATGTCTGGACATAAAAATAGAATTACACAGAAATAGTGTTGTTATGACCTCTGTAGGTTAAATTTTTAATAGCATACATTAAAATGAAAGAGTAATCTATATAAATAAAGGAAAGCTATGACTTTTATCAAAAGTTTTATGAAACATGTGCTCTCATTGTATTTAAACATATGGCGTACATTGTAAGATCGTACAACTGTACCTACAAGTAAATATTTTGTAATAAAATTGAGGTAGGCTTATTATTCATTGTATTATTCAACAGAGACAATTTAGATGAATATAAAAAAATGCATTTTTTATGATATTCTTTACCTGTTAAGTTCTAAGACCTTGAATCAATTATGAAACAATAATTACGAACGTCCTCATTGTTGCGGTCACTTTATTATGTTTAATATATTTGTAATAAATTATTTGAAGTGACGAACTTAACAATAATCAACATTTGTGATGAATGAACAGCTCGCGTCGAATGCTAATTTTATTATGACATATTCTCGTTATTCTAACCATTAAAATAACATATTAGTGGTAAAATATTTTTTTGGTATTTCCCATTTGAGGGAAGTTTTTGTTAATGAACTTTCCTCTCATGAGTATAGATTCGTCATATTAATAACAAATACAAGTAAATGAATACAATTTTGAATTATTACATCGTGGTTGATTCGATACCAGCACGGTTAATCCATGGAATGTTGAGAAGTTTCGCCCCTATTACCTGAAACTAAAAAGAAGTGTAAAAAATCTTTGCCTACTGTTATTTCATATATATTTTTGATAGACTAGAATATATTACGCAGTAAAATTCAGTACTCCAAACATTTTCAACGATAGAACTAATTATCGCCATTCGTTTGATAGAGCATTTTATTTTAACATCGCTCGTAAAAAGTCGCTTGTTTCGTCTCCATTGTAATATATTTTAATAAACAAACACATTTTTACTCAATGAACATGTCCAGTCGTATCCAATTCTAAATATAGTTAGAAACTAGCCTAGTGAATTTAAGTATCGTGACTAATACTGGTTCTAACCGTATGAGGCTTATCGACGTGTTTCGAGAAATACGATAAATCTGGTTTTAAAACAAACCACGTGGATGTTGAAATGAAATCTATATAGCGAATCGACTTTTGCAAAAACATTACTATAGATTTTTAATTAATATACTATTATTATTGTTTCAGTTTTCCTTACAATCATTTTATAGACTTTAAGACTATTAAAGATACCTATATGTTTGTTCCATACAAATAAGTTTCTTCAAAGTGATTGTATTTCATCAAATTTTAAATTATATTACTTACCTATATCAGTTAATGTCAAAGATTTTTCTAACAAAAAAATAAATATTTCATTACGTTTTCGTCTCCAAACGATTCTTCATATAGTCTCCATCCCATCTACTTCATAAATGCCCTTGTTATTAATTGAGCCAATTCATTTGTAATGAAGTTTATTGTGAGTTCAAAAGTCAGTTACTTCCTCATTGATATCAACACCTATCCTTGGGGATCATTGCACTAAGGCACTAAGAATACTCCGTAGAATACCTACTTCGTGATGGCTTGAAAATTTCATTAAAATGAAGGAAATTGCGTTAATTCTAAACCATCGAATAAAATTTAATGCATAACTTTTTTTTATTATAAATAACACAAATACTTTGAGAAATGTTTGCGCTAATAAAATCCTTATTTTTGTACCAGAATCATGGTAGGTATTTATTTTATTCCCTTCAATTTTGGTTGAATATAACTTATTATAGTGTGAGTGGTACTAATGCCTCTTTTTCCTACGTATATAATTATTGATCTGTTCATTTCTATAATAAAATTCTCCAGAAGAAGTGTGTGGTATGAAATTTGTTACTTCTATCAAATTGTTACGGAGTGTGCAATCTTCGTCATTTTCTTTGATGATTGTATTATGTGTCAATCATAGACAGAGAAAAAAGGGGAAACTACTGGGAAGCCTTGCAATTTCCAATTACATACAATATCTGATTGAATCATCTGTTCAAGTTACAACAGACACTCCGTTAACTTAGTAACTTTTATTGTGTTATTGAGAATATTTTCAGCTTATATTTGGCAGGAAATTTGTCATATATAAACCCTTACAGTAACATATAGAGATTTTGATTACACTTTTGCCCAGTGAAGACTTAGACAGGACTTAAAACATTAGGTAGATCACATCAAACTATGTAATTTTCCTTTATTATGATTGTTCGGTGCTTACATTAAAATTAATGTCTGTATGTACAATAACAAACCAATTGAGTTTTATAATTAGAAATAATAAAAACACATTCTACATAATTACGTCATTTATTAAGACATGAAAAGAATATAAGCTTTTTGCTAAATGAAAAGCCAATTAACACGTGGGTCTTCATAGACGCCTTTAACAAACAATTGACGAAGTATCAGATTTCAGATGAGGGAGGGTCAAGTAATGTTTGTCTTGTCTTTTATAACAATACAAGGTCGCAA